CTGACTCTAAGCGCAGACCCAGCCTGCGCCACAAGCTAGAGGGAGGTTTAGCCTGCTTCCCGCGGTTCCTCCCTCCTCCACGGAGTGGGCGCTCCTGCGGGCGGAGGGGCGCAGTGGCGGCCAGTCAGACAGGCGGCTCCCGGAGCGCACAGCCCAGTGAGGGAGGCGCAGGACACGCCGGGGCCAGGAGCACTGCGAGAGGCGGCCAGCGGCCGATCAGGGGCAGGGAGCTCCGCTAGACAAGTCGGGAAGGGCCTCTCTGTAGGTGGCATTTAAGCTGAGGCCCAAATGCCAAGAGTGACCAGGTGAAGTTTGGAGGAAAAGCATTCCAGGCAAAGAGGCCAGCTTCTGCAAAGTCCAGGAGGTGGGCGCCGGAGGGTGCGGAGGAACAGAAGGGAGCTGGTGTGGCTGGAGCAGAGAGGAAGGGGAGGGGCTGGGAGATGCAGTGGGAGGGAGGGGAGAGCGTCCCAGATCACGCACAGGGGGCAGGCGAGCAGGTGAAGCATCTGGGTTTAGTCAACCTTGGGACGCTTTGGAAGATTTAGTGTGCGTGTGCGAGACACAGAGAGACAGAGAAAGGCGCAGTGAGGTGTGAGGTGGAGGTGACTGGACTTATGTTTTTAAAAGATCCCTGTGGCCCCTCGGTGTAGACTGGATCGCAGGAGGCAGCACTGAGAGCAGGAACACCGGTTAGGAGGCAATTGCTGCAATCCTGGAGAGAGGATGGTGGCAGCCATGAAGATGGAGAAAAGCAGGCAAATTTGGGATATATTTCAGGGATAGAATTGACAGGATGGATCAGATGAATGGCCAGGTGGGGGTGACGATGGGGAGACTGGGAGAGTGTAGGCTCCTGAGGTGGGAGGACCTGGAGCTTGAGGTTGGATTTGTCTGAATCGATTGGACAGACGTCCAAGTGGAGATGTCACTTGGCAGTTGCTATGATCCTGGGCTGCACAGGCCAGGGCAGAGGCAGAGGCAGCACTGGGCACTGTCCCGTGAGGCCGGTGTGCCCTGTGCATCCCAGACCCGTCGGAGTGTTTGTGTCTCATGATGGCTGTGCACCTTCCACTTCAATCACAAGCAGCAACCTCCTGCTTCCAGAGGCAAAGCCGTCCAGACTCGTCCCTGAATGCTCACCCACTCCACAAGGACGCGTCCACCGACCATCTCATTGTGTTCTGTGGGCTCCGTGTATTCCAGTCCTCTCTTTTGTTTCTGAAAGCGTCCTCTGGCACTTGCAACCTGGGTTTCTCCTACCAATGCTCCTTCTCTCATTGGTGAAGCCTGCCCTTTCTTCTACCCATCACCAGGGGCCGGGGCAGGGGCTGGGGCTGGGGCAGGGGCAGGTTCAGGGTCAGGGTCAGGGACAGGGTCAGGATCCAGGGCTGGGGCCTGTCCACATGGCAGTCGTCCTCACCAACATCTCCACCATGCTCCTAACAACGGGTATGCCCAGCTGTTTTCCTCCATCTCACCCCCCACCACCATCATAGAGACTTCAAAGCCACAAAGAGGAGGCTTGCACTGCGACCTCTGTGCTTCAGCTCTGGAATCACTCCCTACCTGATGTTCTACTAAGAAGACCCGGACGTCGTCATTTGGGTAAACATAACGGTCTCCCTCCCGAGTCTTTCTCCTCCGCAGCCAGGCGTGCAGGAGTCGTGCCTCCTGCCCCTGCCCCCCGGGCCTTCTGGCCTTCTCGGTTGGCCCGTCCACTGCAGGGATGTGGTCTCCGTGCTCCCACTGCCTCTTTGCGCTCACTTGGTGATGCCCTCACGCTTTCTGTTTTTACTCCTCACCCGAGGACATTTCCCATTGATTTCTAGAGAGTGGAAGAGGGGGAGGGGCAGAGAGAAACATCGATGTGAGAGGGACACATTGATTGGCTGCCTCTTGCACGCGCTCCAACCAGGGCCTGGGCAGGGGAGGAGCCTGCAACCGAGTACGTGCCCTTGACGGGATCAAACCCGGGCCCTTTGGTCCGGAGGCTGCCGCTCTGTGCACGGAGCCAAACCGCCAGGGCATGCTGTCATCCATGGTGCTGAGCGAAGGGCACCGGAAGCAGGCTCCTGGCTGCTCCTCTTCCCTTCACTGCGCTTGGCCGTCCCTTTCTCCCGACTCAGGGAAGCGCTCCTCCTGCCAAGGGGACCCTTCGGCTCTGCCTCCCGCTTCCTCTCACTGGGCCCTTTCTCCCTCTTAGTTTTCTCTTTTCTGGCTCCTCTTCATTTCACAAATTCATTTTTTTTCTTGAAAATAAAAAAAATCCTTCCCGACTCTTTCTCCCTTCCATCTCTCACCTTCCTTTTCTTCCTCAAGAGACATCGCACACCCCAACCAGCCGCTTTTTCGGGAACTGGTAGAACTTCCCTCATCTGTAAAACCTGTGGGTTGAACTAGAGACAATTCTTAGTTTCTTCCGTATTCGCCATTCTCTGACTTTGTACCCACTGCCTCCCTTTCCTCCCCTCCTACTCATGCCTCGGCCCATGTAAGGTGACTTCTGCCCCTCTGGCAAGTGGAAACTACCTTCTCAAAATCTGTAATCACCTCGTCCCTGAGCCTAAACCATCCTCTCAGCCCTCCCGGCCCGGCCTCTTTGAAGCACCAGAGGCGCCTCTCTCCCGCTGCTCCTCTCTGATCGTCCTCAGGCTCGGCTGCTCGCCCTCTCTTTGGGGATCCTGTCCACTCAGAGGAGTGACCCCCAAATCGATTCCTCTGGCCCAACGCCCGGGGCTGCATCCCTGCTGGCGGCAAACCTCCACCTGCCGGGCCAGCGCCTCCCCCCGCACTCCCCAGTCCACGCCGCGCACCTCCCATGACTGCGTGGTTGTCCCGTGTACACGTGTAGTGTGTGTTTCAGTAGATGGCACGTGCTGAGGGCAGTGACTTTATCTCACTTATGCCCACTGTCTAGCAGAGCCCCTGGCTCCCATCGGCAGCTGGATAAAAATGTACTGATTGTGTCTGAAATGGACCCACCTTTCCCATGGCCACGCATCTCCTTTGTTCAGGACACTATCGCCTTTCCGATTCCCTAAGCTCAACACTTGGAGTCATCTGAGACTCCTCTTCCCTCACTGGTACCGCCCAATCTGTGTCCTGTCTTGACATCCTCTTGAAGTTTATAAAGTCTGTTCCCTCTTTTGATACCACCTGCAGTATCGGGACCTGCGGAGTAAGTACACGGAGCAAGTGAGCCCGATGAGGGTCCCATTGCTCCTCAGCTGTGTGGCCCGAGCGCGTCACAGACGTTGATGAGCTCGGTCTCCTCATCTGCACGTGGAGACCCACCCGCCCACTGGACGGCCGCTGGCAGGATTGCCGGAGTTAGGAAAGGGACCTGGTCATACATGGTAGGTGTTCCAACATCACCTTCTTCCCGTGGCGTGTGCACAGCAGGTGGCAGTGCCGCTGCCCCGGACGCAGGCCAGCCCTCTGCTGGCATCTCGGCATCCAGCGCCGCGCCCGCCGCCCACGCCTGTCCCTCGCACCCGGGCTTCCTCGCCCGCACGCTCTTTTCCTCCACATACTCTGCTCTGGACGCCCGCCTCTGCTCAAGCCATTTCCCTGACCTCTGGTGCCCCCACTCGCCGCACACAGAAACGCTACCCATTGGCCAGCGCCAGCTCACATGTCCGCCCTCCTCAGGGTGCTTTTCTGCACCCACCCGCCGCCTTCCCCACGGCTCACACTGCCGCCACTGGCGTCTCTCAGGCTACTTGCTGTGCGGCTGGGCAGTCCTTCAGGCCCTTTTCCTAACTCAACCCAGACCTGACTGGACCCCAAACCCCAAACAGACCTTCTTCCACCTCACCAGTCTCGTTCCCAACCCTCTTCCTCTGACTGAAACCCAGACACCTTCCCCGAGAACCGATTCCTGGCCCGTCTCCGGGGGACACGCGCTCTCCTGCTTCACGGGAGGCAGATCACCCCGGGATGCCTGGGCCCCTCCCTGCCCCCACCTGGTGGACAGGAAGCCGCTGCCTGGCCCAGGAGGTCAGAGGAAGCAGGGCCTCTGAGGCTCAGTATTTTTATCAGCCTAGGAAAAAGAGACACTGAAGCGGAAACCATGTGGTCAGAGAAAGTGAACAGCCCTCATCTCAGGGGAACCCCCAACAGGGCTGGGGGCCAGACACCAGGGAGGGACACTGGAAAGAGGGGGGCCGGGAACAGGCCGTGTTGTGCTGTGGTTTATGTAACTTTTGCAAAGGGCCAGCGATGTGCTTAAAACCCGGAGGAAACCTGGATGGAGGAGCAGACTTGGACACCAGTTTCCTGACGCTCACCTGTCAGCTCCCAGTCGGACCGTCACCCCACCCGCCCCCCACCAACCTGAGCTCTTTGCATGCCACTTCCGAAGCCCCCAGCTGTGAGCGGAACCGGACGCCTGGGTTGCTCACAGCCCGTCTCTTCTCTGAATCACAGCAGCTTCCTCTCACAGCCCTTCCTCTTCCTGCCCCAACATCTGGCCGGTGCCTCAAGGCCTTGGGCCTCTTGGCTCTGTCTCCCCGGGGTCTCGTGCTCACCCCACATTCCCATGCCACGTTCGGAGGCTGCCCCTTCCCTCCTCCAAGGCCTCCCCTTCTACTCCGGGCTTCTCCCGCCCGCACCCACGGAGACTGGGCTCCCAACCTGAGAGATAAGCTTGATGCATCAGTGCCCTGCAGCAGACAAGTGCCCACGGCACTGGCCAGCCTGCCCTTTCTTCTCACTTCACTGCTGTGCCTGGGGTGGGGGTGAGGGGGTGGGGGTGCCATGGGGTCGGTGCTGTCTAGTCCCACACCAGTCCAGGGGCTGAGAGCTGAGCATGAACAGCGGAAGGGGTGGCGCCCCGTCCTCCGCGGAACCCCAGGCCTTCTCCCTCCACCCTCAGATGTCTCTCTGGAGGCCAGGCCTGGCTGCCCAGCGATGGAACCCAGGCTTCATGGGGGCAGAAGCTATGGAGGGAGCTGAGGCTTGAGCTGTCGAACTAACTCAACGTGTTTGGAGGCTTTGGCTAGAAAGACACGATAAAGATTTATTCACAGGTTTGCAAACTGGAAGCATAACTAGGCAAAACCCCAGCAGTGTTTCCGAGTAAGAAGGAAGTTAAGCGTCCTCCTGGTACGAGTGCACTCTGGAGAATGGTCGGTCCTGCAGGCTTAGCCAGGACCCACCGTCCGGGAGGGCGCCGTCAGACCCAGGTGGTCTGGTCACACCGTGTCTGGGTGATGGATGTCAGGTCAAGGCGTAGTGAGGCCTCCAGGGGTCATCGGGGGTATTAGGAGGCGCTGACACAGGCCGGGAAAATTCCGAAGTTTACGCTCCCAGACTGGTTAAAATGAGCACAGAATCGTTGCCTCAGGCCTCAGTCAACTTGGCTTTAGTGACTGAGCAGCTTGACTAGAGTGAGTCCATGTTACTTCTTCACTCTCTGCGGGTGTGGGTCCCTGGTTGCCCAAGAACAGACAACCCAGGTTACATAATTTGGCTCTTTCCGCCTACTTCCCCTGGTCCTAATTTTAGCAACCGAAATTCCACTCCCACACAGGGCTCCTCCTGCATCCTGCTCCTGTCCCGACCTCTCACAACCTCCCCATGGCCCCCAGCTCCGCTGCCCCCCTTGGACCATTCAGTGACTCAGCAAAGGGAAAGCCCTGTCTGCTGGGGAGGCAGTGAGTGGGGAGGAGGATGTGGTTCTGGGGGGGCTGGGGGGGAGGGAAACTAGTTTTGTTCCCTTTTTTGGCGGGTGTTCACATTCATCTCTTGGGCCCCCAATTACCGAGGGGAGCCCGGCACAGGGAGAGAGTGAGACGGGAGGGCGCGCCGGCCTGCTCAGGGCCAGCCTGGGAATGGGCCGGCGGGCCTCTAGCGTCCAGTGCAGGCGCGGCCGTGTGCGTGCGGGTCACAGGTGTGTAGAGCTGTGGGTTCGGCAGATGGGCGGGAAAGATGTCATGGGCGATGAAAACCACCGCAGTGGAAAAAGGCAGGGCCCTGGGAGTGAGACGTGGAACCAGGTCTTATTAGGAAGTGGCAGAGTCAAGGAGCAGTGCCGGTGGCTGCCCTCCCACCCCCGCTCATCACAAGTTTCGCTCCCACCCCACATCCTCTGCTGCACAGTGCCTGGTCCTGCCTCGTCCTCGCCACCCCCACCTCTGATCATGCCCTTCCTGCCGCCCTGTCTCGAAGGCTGCGTTCCCTGCAGCTCCTCCTGATGTCCCTGGGCTCACTTGAGGGCCTCTGCACGGCGATTCAGGGCCTGAGAAAGGGCTGTCACCGCTCCCATCACGCGGCCTAGCTCCCAGGTCTCAATCTGGCTCCCGAACCGCTGCAGGAAGCGGTCCGGGTGCCAGCGAACCTGCTGGACCCTCAAGTACCTCCTCAGAGCCTCTTGCTCCTCCAAGGGGGGACCCCTGGCCACCAGGGCTGCCGCCATGGCCTCCGGGTCCCCTCCCCCAGGGCAGGGCCAGGGCACGTCATTGAAGCGCCAGAGGTTGCCCCTCCCTGCTCCCCTGGGGGGCTGGGCCCTGTGAGCCTCCTGCGCCTGCTCCTGCGCCCGCCTGGCTCTGCTCTCCCGCAGTTCCTCCTCCTTGGCCCTGGCCCGCTCTTGGAAGAGTCTCCGCTCCTCCTCCTGCCGCCGCCAGCTGAGACTGGAGCCCTCAGTCCGGGCGGGCCGGCGGGCTCCCTTTGCCTTGCGCTGCTGCTGGCACTTCTGGGCATGCTCCCGGGCCAGGCGATCTGACCAGGCGGAGAAGGACTCGGGTTCCTGGGCCTCATAGTCTGTTTGGGGGGCCGGGGGGACAGGGGTGGTTGGGGAGAGGCCATGAGAAGGTCACAGGGCAAGAGAAGCGGGCGGCACAGGGGACGCGGTGCGGAGGGGGGGGGGGGGTGTGCAGGCAAAGCAGCAGCTGGGAAGGGCAGCTGTTGGGGAACGGACTCCTCACCTTCCAGCCGGCCAGTGACCTCCTGCCACTCGTCCTCCAGCTCTCCCAGCAGCTTCTGCCTCCACTGGTGCTCCCTGGACGCCTCGTCTTCCTCCTCCTCTTCGGCAGAATCCCAGGGGGGTCCCCAGCCCAGAATTTGCCCGGGGGTCTCCCCATCCTTGTTCTTTATTCCCATGGCAGAGGGACAGCGGCGCAGCAGCGGCAGGAAGAAGTCCGTGTAGGCTGTTGGTGGGAGGGCAGGGGGTTAGCTGGGCCTCCTTGGCAGGGCGCATCTGGGATCCTGCCGGCCACGCACACCCTCGTCTGCCCACCTAGACCTGACACACACTTACTGACAGTTTACCGCAGTTTAAAATATTCTGACCTGTGTCCCCATGAACTACTTCATGTTTTCCAGTCTGCCTCCAGCCACCGGGCACCGTCAGAAACCTGACTATGGATTCCAGTTTTGGCTGGAAAATATTGTCACGGCAGCCCAGCCGGCGTGGCTCAGTGGCTGAGTGTCGACCTATGAACCAGTCAGTTTGATTCCCAGTCAGGGCACATGCCCAGGTGATCCGCAGTGTGAGGCATGCAGGAGGCAGCGATCAACGATTCTCTCATCATTGATGTTTCTATCTCTCTCTGAGATAAAAGGAAATATTGTCACCTAATACCTCTTCCTGTGTTTCTCACCCCACATTATACTTCAGATTGGTAAGATATTTGAACATTCTGCTCTACCATTATAAAAATGCAAATATCGAACAGGTATCTTTTTATATTACTTTGCAATAAACTGGATAAAATAAATGTTTTTAGGGGAATTTCCCGCAGCCAGCCTTCCCCAGAGCATGCTGGGAGGGGTGGAGGTCGAGGGCCAGATAAGCAGAGTTTGAACCAGAGAAATGCTCCAAGCAACCAGCAAGCTCTTTCCAATGACTGCTGGCCTAGCGGGGGGAGAGGGCTGAGAGGGGGTTCCACCCAGGAACCCCTCTTCCTGAGTCCTGACTTCGCTGCACTGGCTCCAGAGTGGCCATGTGCCAGGGCCGTGCTGCTCACTTCACTGCTCACCCAGGCCCCCAAGCACCTCGCTCCTGGGACCAGGCGCGTGCATGAGGTGCTCTCTCGCTGTGGCCTGCTTCCTCTCGCCAGGGCAGGAGGAGGCGGCCGGCGGCCCTTCCATCTTTACTCTGTGGCACTGGCTATCTAGGAAAAGCACGGGTGAGGAGAAGGGGTGTTCCCATTGCCAGGGAGGCAGGGAGACAGGACGGGCCCAGCCTTGGCCAGCCAAGGCCCGCGGCCCCCACGCATCTCCTGGCACACTCGAGTACCCCCGACTCCAGACCCCGTCAGGACCAGGCCTCATGGCAGGGGGAGGGTGGCAGGTGCTCAGGCTAGGACGGGAAGGTTTTAGGTTCATAGGTTTTAAGGAGTAAGGCTTCCAACCATAAAATATAAGTAAAATGTGACACAGGATATTAACTAGTAACTAAGCATGATGTTTGTGTGTGGAAAGCTGGCTACAAAACTGTACATGGGGCCGGACTGCAATGGTGTGAAAAGAGAGCAAGTGCTCTGGCTGGAGAAGGTGTAGAAATATAAGGCTCTGGCCTCGGGGTGGAAGGACTGTGGGTGGCTCCCCCACTCCTACTTGACATTTTAAAGTGCATGGATGTAACTAACGGTAAATCCCCTTTCCTCTTAAAGAATGAAGAATAAATGTAATCGCCCTTCCCACTTTGCTGCTGTCTTTTCCAGCCCCATCTGGTGATGTAAACGCACAGAGCTGACAATTTCTGTCAGCGATACATGACCGCACTGTATGTATTATTTGGCAACTTGCTCTTTTCACTTAACGTCTACTTATATTTTCCACAGGAGTGAACGCTGGCCTCCTTTTTCATGACTGCGCGGTGTTTCACTGTGCGCGGAACAAACTCACCCCTCCCCGCAGGCGACAGACTTTGTTTCCAAACTGCTTGGCTTCCTACATGTCTCTGTGGGCTCCCTGTGGTATTTCTGCGGGGCTGCTTCTCAGAAGTGGAATCTCTGAGTCAAAGAACATGTGAGGTTGTGCCAAACAGCTCTCTTTTGTGCCAACACACAACCCTATGGAAATCTGCGTCGTCCTTTACCAAAATTTAGTCTCATCAACCTTTTAATTTGGCTCATCTGACAGATTAAAAAAAGATTTTAATTATGAAATTTTCTTTTTCATATGCTTTTTGGCTCTTTGTGTTTCTGTTGTGAATGACCTGTTCTTATTCATCTACGTTTCCCTCGGAAACGATAACGTAGAGACGACAGCCCTTTATATAGTACAGAGATCAACCCTGTGTCTGTGTTACATTTATTGTAGGTATTTTCTCCCATTCTAACAAGTTTTTGCCAGGGTGCTAAGTGGTTGGGTGCCGACCTATGAACTAGGAGGTCATGGTTCGATTCCTGGTCAGGGCACATGCCTGGGTTGTAGGCTCGATCTCCAGTGGCAAGGGGGAGGGGGAGATGTGAAGGAGGCAGCCGATGGATGATTCTCTCATTATTGATGTTTCGACCTCTCTTTCCCTCTCCCTTCCTCTCTGAAATCAATAAAAATATATTTGTAAAAAAAGTTTGTAGTTAAATCTGCATCAATAGCTTTTGACTTTATTTCATTAGGAAGGTTTTCTTCACTCCAAGATTATAAAATGATTCCCCTGTGTTTTTCTACTATATTTACTTTTATTTTTAGAAACCTAAAAAATTCAAAAAATGTAGAAAGTATAGTACAATAAACACCTCTATTCCTATCACAGGGTATGTTAACATATTGTCATTTTTGCAACATCATTTCGTTTTAAAGAAATAAAACCACCGTGGATAGAGTAAATTTTTCTTCAGTGCTGCCTTCTAAGTTTTATTCCCCAGGAAACCTTCCTATGAATTTGGCATGTGCCCTTCCTGTCACATTTAGGCGAGCTGCGGGCCCCTCACTAACTTACTTTTAAGTCAGGAAAGAGGGGGGACTCTGCTTTTCCCTGGATGACGCAAACGCTCCGATATCATTTGTTAAGCAGCTCACCTTCCTCCGGTGACTTGGAATGCCAGCTTTACCATCAGTTTAGCATATGGATCAACTTTTCCCAGTGTGCTTTTCTACTGGGAAAAATAGATATGAAAAACATTTTGGAGTGAAAATAGACTTTGTCTTAGTGATGACAGCACTGCTTTTCTCCTCCCCATAAGATGATTTCTACCTTAAAGCAAAGTTCACACTAACTGGTACAACTCACTGAAGAAACACCAGTATCAGAAGCTCATGTTGAGGACAACTGACTGAGGAAGGCACAGAGGAAGAAAAGGTCGTCGTGGGCAGGGTGCTCCAAGAGGGCTTCCAGGCGGAGGTGGCTTATGTTGGCCTGGGAAGGGAGAGTAATTTAGCGAAGCAGAAATCAGGCAGACGGGAAAGCAACAGGCAAGAGAGAGGTGGGCTTGTGGAAAACATGCTGGGGGACACTGAGGACAGAGCCTCGCGGGGAGCTGCAGCTTTGGGGTGAGCCGTGGGAGGTCAGGCTGGAAAGGCAATGGAACACAGACCCATGGCTCAGCCACCTGTAGACAGGACCACAGCCTACTTCCGCGGTGCAGATGGAGCGGTAACGGACAGCGAATGTCTGGCACACAGCAGAGTGCAGTGAACGTCATATTAAAAATAATATATCCGAAAAAATATCAGGATGGCTCTCAATTTTATTCTTTTTGCAAAGACTGTGAGAAAAACAACCCCATTTCTCAGTGTTCGATTATTCTTGCTGTATGCAGAGAATGGTTACTGTCAGACTGAGGTGTGTGTACACAGGGGTCTCTGACAGCTGAGATAACTTCCCCACAAGGTGATGGGTCCCAAGAGAAGTTACCAAAAGCCCAAGGTAGGGGCCATTTACCAGCATGTCACTGAGTGTGACAACCCAGCCCAGCCAACCCAGCAGAACAGGCAAGTCCATCGGGCCTGGGCCTGCCTGAGAGCTGAGGGGAATGCACCTCCTCAGGGATCCAAGATCATTTCATCAGCTCAAAGAGAACATCTGCATTTAAGGCACAGAGGTTTCTAAAGCAGCGGGAGACGAAGGAGACCGGCCTTCCTACCCAGGAGTTAGAAGGCCCCCTGGTGGCGACTGGCAGGGACTGGGAGGAAGGAAGGGCTTAGGTGTGACCTGAGTGTGGATCCCCCTTGGGAAGAAAGTTCCTGAACCACCGGGCAGGTGGGGCTCAGTGGTTGAGGGTCCACCTATGAACCAGGAGGTCCTGGTTCGATTCCCAGTCAGGACACATGCCCAGGTTGCGGGCTCAATCCCCAGTGTGGGGTGTGCAGAAAGCAGTAGATCAATGGTTTTTTCTCATCACTGATGTTTCTCTCTCTCTCTCCTTTCCACTCTGAAATCAATAAAAATATATTAAAAAAAATAAAGTTCCTGACTTTCTAGGCCCTCTTTTCCTCACCTGTGAGATAATAATATCAATCTTGCTGGCTTCTTGGGATTTAATACAATGAAGAAAGCACTTACCATGAAGAATATTTTTATTATTCAAATAGCCTTAAGTAATATCAGAATAGAACACTACTTCTCATTGAGTTAGTGCTAAACTGTACCAAGTGCCTGCCTCTTAACTCTCACAACCTGCATTTTAGAGGCACATCAGGCTCACAGAGGGTGAGCTGCGGGCCCTCACCCAGCCCAGCCCAGGACCCCAGTGGCCAGGCCGGAACCTGGGTGAGGGCTCAGCTTTTGCCACCGGCAATGTCAGTTGTTCAGTCAGCCACCTGCACTTTGCAAACCTCCTTTCTTTGTTTTTAAGTTTACAACCTCCCCATATGCCGGCCTATCTCACTTATATTAAGAAACATTAAAGAAAGGGGTAACTTCTTTACTATTAGGGAAGGTGTGGGGGTGGAGATGGGTTCCTATGCCTGGGGCACTGGGGGAGCAATCAAACTGAATGAAGGGTGCTCATCCCAACCTAGAGGTCTCCTCAGATGTTCTTACTCTCGAAGGAAAATCTCCTGAGGGCAAATCTAGACAGCTGCCTCCACTGCCCACAGGGTCAGCAGGTCCGCGTGGGAAAGCACAGCGGCCAAGGCTTTGCAAATGTTCTGGGGTTTGAGAGCTGATCTGAAAGTACACGCGTGTAGTGTGTAGCCTGGGCAGCCCCCGGGGCCGGACACGCGAAAGCTTCTGAATGTTGACATCAGCATGAGAAAAACAAATGGTAGATGGCCTCACTGCAGTCAGGTTAGGCCCTGCCACAGAATGAGTTTGGTGGCAGGCTGATGTAAATGCTCGCCTCTCAGTGCTTCTGTTTCAGAATCGTTGGTAGGGAGTATGGATATGCTGACAACAGGCAGAACAGCGGTGAGTACCTACCAAGGGCTTGCCATGTGTACTGCTTCGTAGAGTCTTAGCACTCGCCCCAGCATGGGGTGCTGAGCACAGGCACCATCACAGTGTATTTCTGTAGCAATTCTGTACCTGTCACAGGACAGCGCCCTGGCCGGGCTGCCTGGGTTACAATCACTGCTGCACTATTTTGGCAAATTACTTCTGTTAGTACTCACACGGTTGTTGTGAGGATTAAACGAGTTACTTTGTGAGAAGTGCCTGCACATAGCAAGGGTTGTTATGATTTAATTTTGCACATGGGTAAACGAAGTTTGGTACCTTGTCCAAGAAGTTCCAGCTATTAAGAGCGCGGCTGGGATTTGAACCCAGGCACCAGCTCTAAAGCCTACCCTCTGTGCTACCTTTTGCACTTCAGGCAAACCACCACTCGAGAGACAAAGGAGCTACTAATCTAGAAAGCTGTGACCCTGAGTGTTGGGCTCCTCAGACAATGGCAGTTCGGTACGGTAATGGCACAGGTGACAGCCAATGCCAACTTGTCATCTACGCCCTAGGTCCCAGGACGCTCCTGGCTCATGAGCTGTCCTGCGGGCACACTCACCCCCAGGCCCCCGGCGGGCGGCAGCGTGCAGCGCCGTGTTTCCGTGGCGGTCCCGGCGGGCAGGGTCAGCCCCGAGCCGAAGCAGCAGGCACAGGGCGGGGGCATCGTGGCGGGCACAGGCCCGGTGCAGTGGCGGGGGCCGCCCAGCATCGACATCCAGGCCGGGGTGCCGCTGGAGGAGGGCCTGGGCCCGGGCCAGCCGGCCCGCAGACAAGTACCGCCGGAAGCGACGCTCTCGGCGCCGGCGGCGGGCCTTGGAGGCCATGGGACTCGCGGCTGAAGAAGGAAAAGAGGCATCAGAGGGCCCAGCCTCGCCGGCCCGCCCGCCAGCCCGGCCAGCCCGCCCTCCCTTCGGCCGGGTTCTCATATCACATTGCGGCTCATTAGCAGCGCTAAATCTTAAATAAAGAACTTTCAAAAGGGGGGAAAGGGACTGATAGGGGAAATGTTTATCAACAGAAATTAGAATTTTAAAGTCATGGACAATTTCAAGTAGTGATCTAGAAATTGAATATAATGCACCCGGTCGAATGATGCAAAATAAAGGCTTCTCCCTCTGGACCGGGGGGTGGGGGGTGGGGGTGGGGGTGGGGGAGTGGGGGCGTACTCATCAGACCTGCCCCGGCCCCCTGAGGAACCAGTCGCTCGGAGCGAGGTACGCAGGAAGGCGGAGACACTCTAGACTGGCAGAAACGGCGCAACTGAGACGCAGGTAAAGGGCGGAAATGACCTAAGGCGCATTACCGGATGTCGTTCCTCCCCGAGGACGCGCGGTGGTGGGGGGCGGGGAGGTGTGTTTCCGCGATCTGGCCTCCGGGGGGAAACTAGAGAACTTAAGATAAAGGGTCTACCTGGAACCGGGAAACTGGAGGGTAGGCGCAGAAAAAGGAGGGCGGCCTGGAGGTTTACCCCGACTCCCCAACTGGGAAGAGAGAGTAGTGGTTCCGAGATAGATGAAAAGATGAGAAAAGAGAGAAAACAGGAGAGATAAGGGAATAAAAATCACAGTGAAAAAGAAAAACAAAACCACATTGAGGCTGAGAACAGGGGCAGATCAAAAAGAGAAAACCAGGCATGAAAACACATAAAAGGCAGGTGAGATGAGTGCAGAAGTTTGGACTTGGAAAAGATAGAGAAGAAATGGAAACGGGTGGGAGAGAAAAGGGAGGAGATATTGGCCGAATTCAGAAGTCCAACGTACTCTTCCCAACGCACCACGGATGGTGACTTCCTTACTTTCTCACGCAGTCTCAACCCCTCGCGCCTCCTCCTCTCCTCTCAGCCCCGGCCCCCATTCCTCGACCTCCCGACTGGGCCGCTTTGGGCCTGGTCTCTGCTGCCCCCGAGAGGTCCTCCTCGGTACTGCCAGATGGAGAGGTGGCAGAGGAGGACCAGCCACCCCCGGGAGGATCAGTGTGGGGGAGACACCGGTGCAGGCTAAGCGAAAGCGGGAGCACTAAGACCCAGGGATAGTGGCGGACTGCAGCAACGAGCTGGAAGAGCAGTAGGCGGTGGGTGGGGGCTGGGAGCCGTCTGGTGCCTTGGTAGCATCCGAAACAGAATCTGCCGTAACGACCGAAATGGCCAGTCAATCCCAGGGTATCCAGCAGCTCCTGCAAGCAGAGAAACGGGCGGCTGAGAAGGTGGCAGATGCCAGAAAGAGTGAGTCTCCCCCTTCCTCCCTTAGAAGTCTGGAAAGAAAATTGGGGGGGGGGGGTGTGGACAGCAAACATTTGAGTCCTGAGGTACCCAAGCCTGCTGGGGAGAGAGCTGGGGGCTGGGGTGGCTAATTAGAAGGGAAGAAATGGGTGAGTGTTAGAATCTAGCACCTGGTTGGCTGAGCGCAGAATAACTTTCTGGAAAGGACTGACCCCCACTATCACATTTTGTGTCGGGTTCACCCACCCCCATCCTTCTTTTGCTTCCAGGGAAGGCGCGGCGTCTGAAGCAGGCAAAGGAAGAGGCACAGATGGAAGTGGAACAGTACCGGCGGGAGCGAGAGCTGGAATTCCAGAGCAAACAGCAGGCGGTGAGTCTGGGGAGAATTGGGGATGGCCCCCCAGAGTGCAAGTTGCATCTGGTGAGGGTGATTCTACGATAAAATAAGATGGTCAAGGACAGAAGGGGATCCTGGTGGGGACCATGTGACATTGGTCAAACTTTGTGATATTTAAGAGTCTGGGCATTTTGAAGGCCTTGAGCAGCTTGTGGGGGAGTTGCCACAGTCTGTGTGGAGTATGATGACATTTGGGTGGAGGGCAGAGTTCAGTAGTCATGGGTGGTGAGGGTGGGGGTTGTACAGTCTGATGTTGCATGCCAGGTCTTGGAGGAAAGGGGTTGTGCTGCTGTCCTGGTGTCCGGCTGTTTCTGCGGGAGGGGCGGGTTGGAGGGCCTTTCTCTCTGGCCTTGCTCTAGGATCTTTCCCTCCACATGCCTGGACCCTCTTTTCTCTGTCTCTTCCGTTTTCTCTTCTACCCCTTCCTCACCCTCCAGGCCATGGGCTCCCAGGGAAACCTGTCCGCAGAAGTGGAGCAGGCTACCAGGCGCCAGGTGCAGGGCATGCAGAGCTCCCAGCAGAAAAATCGAGAACTCGTCCTGGCCCAGCTTCTTGGCATGGTCTGTGATGTCAGGCCCCAGGTCCACCCCAACTACAGGATTGCTGCCTAGGACAAACCCTAGCGCCTAACTCCTCCTCAAAAGAAATCCCCAAATCAGAATCGCCTCCCATCCTAATCCTACTTTCCTTTTCCATTCCCTAGAAATTCTAGGAGGCAGGACCCAATAATTCTCCTGTGAAATATAGATGTCCTGCTCAGACCCGAATCTCCTTATTGTTTTTTAACCTTCATTGAGACCTTATAAACTCCCAAGTCACCCTCACCCAACCCCTCTGTGAAATTTGTAGCATGAAAAAGCAGGGATGTAGGAAACATCCTAACTCCAGAGCCCAGCAGACTTAGATCCCTCTCCTGACCCTGCTACTAGTTGACAGGCAACCAGAACAAGCTGCTTAACCCGTAGCCTCACTGCCTCCCCTGGAACAACAATGCCCACCTTTCAGTGTTGCTGCAGTAATTAGGAATCATTCTGTCCAGAGCCTGGCATGGTTGCTGGCATGTAATAGTTATGATTTGATTAATGGCAACCCCGTGATATTATGTCCACCTGCCAAAACCTAGACACAGCTGTTTCCTCACTTCTGTCTGTGGCCCTAACTCTACTCATTGATTCTGTGACCCTAGTAATTCTCTGAAGAATTGGTTCTTCCCACCTCTCTTTTCCCAGGCCTTATGATCCCTGAAAAGATAAAATGATGATTTCATTTAGCCCCTTTACTGTAGTTCCAGAAAGATGGTGCATTTTTTAGCCTCTCCTTCATCTCTCTTAAGTTGGTCTTTCTCTTTATTGGTTTTCTCCCATTTCTTATTCCCCCAAAGACCTGTCAGATGATCGCTGCTTCCTGAGATTGAAAGAGAAGCTTGTCACCGTGTATGCATGGACTTCCTTTGTAACAATAAAAACTCTCAATAAAATGATTATGGGCAAATCCTTTTGTTTCATCATTTCTCATTTAGCCCCTCTCTTGTGTCTTGCTTCTATATTCTCCAAACACCCAAAAGGGATGCCCTTTGAAACTTGTTGGAGAAACATAGCAAATAACATTATTATTGCCTAGCCGATGTGGCTCAGTGGTTGAGCGTTGATCTAAGAAACAGAAGGTCACAGTTTGATTCCCTGTCAGGGCACATACCTGGGTTGCTGGCTCGATCCCAAGTAGGGGGCATGCAGAAGGCAGCTGATCAATGATTCTCTCTCATCAATATTATATTTCCCTCTCTCTTCCTCTCCCTGAAATCAATAAACATATATTTTTTAAAAAGAAAACCCTAAAAAATTATATTTCTCTAAAGTGAGAAACATAAGCGATTCCTAGTTTGGGAAAATGAAGGTTTTAGATGGCGACTGGAGAGAAAGCTGAGGTGTAGGAACAAGCATTTTGCCCCTTCATTAACCGAAGAGGCTCAGGCTATAATGAGAACAAAAGGCAATTATTTGAACAAAATGACTGCACTACCATGATGCAGATTCAGGTAACTACTCAAACTGCTCTCTGAGAGAACAAAGAAAGGCAGGATTTATAAAAGCAAAAACCACGAAGTGCAATTCTTTCATGTAAATGAAGGATCACTGGCTAGGGATTGGTTGGTTCTAACATGCAAATAAGGGAGGCAAAAACTATGAGGAGCAGGTAAAGTCCATGTGTCCCTGAAGCAGTTGTTCCAAAATGTTTATGACTCAGCCTTGAACTGAGTTGTTAGCAACTTCATAGCAGCTCCGAGCACTGCTGCTTCCCCAGTGGCCTCTGACTCTATGTAAGGTGATTCTCTTAGCAGTGCCTGTTCCATTTTATTTTTTCCATTATCATCTGGCTTTATTTTTCTTCATAGCACTTACTACTACTTGACATATTTGTTTGTGCGTTGTCTCTCCTGTTAGTGAACTCTGTAATGACAGGGCCATTCACTGCTATGTCCCCAGATCCTAGAATAGCACTTGGGACAGAGTATGAAAGATAAATACTGTTGAATAAATTGATACATAGGGTTGGAAAAACTGCCCTTCTATGACACCATCCTGGGATCCTTGGATGGATCACTTACTGCATTTTTCTTGGCCACAGAAAACAAGCCTCTTAACCAGACTCTCTAAGCAGGGCGGCAGGATACATCCTCCTGTATAATAAAAGACTAATATGGAAGTTGACTGAATGGTGGAATTGCTGGGGTCCAACCCCAGCAGGTCCAGGGGTCCCCAAAGGTGTGGACGGAGTCGGCAAAGAAGGAATGACAAGGAGACAGCGTTCAGTTGATCAGCAGCCTAGCCAGGATCTCCAGCGAAGTTCTGGTTAGGATCTCCAGCCAGGTTCTGTGTCCATGTTCTCTTGCTAGGTTCTCCAGCCAGGTTCTCCAGGTTCTCCAGCCAGGTTCAGTCACCAGGTTCTAGTCAGGTTCTCTTGCCATGTTCTATCCAGGTTCTGTAGCCAGGTTCTGTCTCTAGGTTCTTCAGCCAGTTTCTCTCGCTAGGTTCTGTCTCTAGGTTCTGTTGCCAGTTTCTGTCCAGGATCTTTTGCCATGTTCTCTCCAGCGAAGTTATTCTGTCTCTAGGTTCTGTCTAGGTTCTGTGTGGGTTCTGTCTTCTAAGTTCTGTCTTGTTACATCTGTATTTATACCAGTTGATTCCAATCCTATCAATCTCGTCCAAAGGTTAGGGCCTTTCTTATCTCCATTCCAGGGAGTAAAGATTATGTAGCTTAAGCATGATTGTTCATAGATAAAGTGATTAATTACCCGCCTGGCACTTAGTTAAGAGGTTTTATTCCCTCCCTAACTTCAGGGGAAAATCCCTACCTGGGGAAACAACCTTTCTCAGAGACCTTGGTTAAAACACATAGTGCCAAGAAGGTGAGCAAACATATTAAGAACAGTATGCCATATATGCCAGGTCCCTTGAAACAGCAAGGATGGACCGGCTCCGGGCATGGAATGACTGGTACTATGATGCACACTGACCACCAAGTGGCAGACGCACAATGCAGGAGCTGCCCCCTGGTGGTCAGTACGCTCCCATAGTGGGAGCACTGCTCAGCCAGAAGCCCAGAGCCAGGTTCACGGCTGGCCAGCGCAGTAGTGATGGCGGGAGCACTAAGGATGTCAGACTGTCAGCTTATCCCCCCGAAGGCTCCCCGACTGTGAGAGGGATGGGCTGAGGGACTGCCCCCCCCCCCAGCAGGAATTCATGCACCGGGCCTCTAGTAGAGAATAAGAGGTGTTCACATCCTGGCTCTGTCACCTTACTAGCTGCACTACTTCCCACATGTTGCTTTATTCTCTTCACTCTGGGCTTGTTAATAGAATGGGAATAATGGTCTCCACTCCTTAGTGTTAAATGATTAATAAAAATTACAGGGCCAAACGTTTGTTGTCATTTTTGGCAAGCAGCAGACATCAATCCTGGTTTCTATAGCATATCAAAGACAGGGGTATCCGATGCTTCATTCACGAAAAAATCCAGGCTGGACAATGGGGCTGTTGGGGTGGGGCTCAGAACATTGTAGTCGCATTAACAGTGCTTAAGGAATGTTGCATAACCCTCAAGCCCTATCACTTAACACTGGGGCCCAATCTAGACCCCGCTCCACTCTGAGTTCAGAGCGCCTTGACTCGCAGCCCCTGCCCACCAGCTTAGGCCCCTGGGACATGTGCTATATGGGCCAACACTACTTTTGGGCAAATGTCAGGCCCTGGTCCCCACGGCTGCCTAGCTCCAGCGCGGACGCCCCGGGTCACCTTGACTACCGGGCCAAGGACCCCGTGGGAACCCGCAGCCTCGCCAGCCTCGCTCGCCACAGAGGGGTGCCCAGAGAGAAGGCCTGCGTGGCCAGAACCTAAACGAGGAGGCGCGGGGCGTGGAGAAAAGTGGAACAAGAGAAAGGGGATGCTAGTGGAAGGGGATGTAGTTTCCTTTATGTCTTTTGCTACTGGCAGTAGCGAAGGAGTTAGAAGTGACTTTTTTAAAAAAAACTTCAGACAGGCAGTTTCTAAAGGCAACCCCGGAGCCCCCGGAACTACAGAACCACGGAAGGTCCTTCTTCCGGTCCCTTGAGCCTGACGCTAGCAGCCGAGAAGGCGGGGGGCCGGGGTAGAGGGAAACTGGGAACCGGAAGTGAAGGCAGATTGCCTCCTTCGTCGCTGTTGCTGCCGCCATACGCGTTCGCCTTGCTCAGGTAAGATTTGGCCTTCGGTACCATCCATTTCCATCTGCGTCTCCGTGCAGCCATCCTACTGAATGGAGTCCTGATACCCCTTCCACAGGCGATGGCCTGGTCGCTTGGGCCTCGTTGGGTCGTTATTTTCATCACTTGCATCCTTTTCGAGAGCAAAGAGCTCCCGCGGGGAGGTAGGGAACTAAAAAGGCTCAATCCAAGATGGTGGCCTCGCGCCATTGTGTCCTCTTAGTTCTCTGCTCCGCCGGCGGCCTCGTTTCCTAGAGGCCCCAGCGATGGGGAGAGGCGGCGCTGGGCGGGAGAGCCCCCGCCCTTGTTTCTGGGTCCTCTCGGCCGGCGTGGGACTCGGAGGAGCCCGCTCTGGGCCTTGCGGGCCTCCCCCCCCCGCCTGGCCCGCGTTCACTTGGAGCGCTTTGCAAGTGCTTGCGGGAGCGTCTCGGCTGAGGGTGAGCGGCGGCGGTGGAGGCGCTCGGCCAAGGCTCACCCGCCGGCCGAGCCGTCCTCCCGCCTCCGACGCGGTGTGTGATGGAGAGATGGTGTTGCTTTCGGCGGAGCCACCCGCCATCGGTTAACCGCGCGGAGTTTGAAGCCGCAGGTGGGGTGACTGAGCGGGAGTGGGCGGCAGCCACATGATGTGTCCGCTCTGGAGGTGAGCGCTCTGCGCAGTGATGACCTTCATCTATCACCCTGGACTGATGGCTGCTGCGCCGGGAGCGCGGGTCCCGGGAGGGTTTCGGCCGCCTCGCCCTCGCCCTCGCCCTCTCCGCTCCGAGGGCGTCTGCCTCTCCTCCCCGGGCCTCTCCTCGCTGCTGGCGGAGCTCCTAAGCTGCTCTCCCGGCTGACCCTGGCCCTGCTGGGCCCGTGCCCTGACCACCTCCCTCCCCGGGAGCCCCCTCCGGCCCCTGGCCCGTGCCTGTGTGTGTTACTTTCCCACCCAGGTAAAGGTTGCATAGTTTAGGGGAAGTGGGCGGGGCGTGGGGATGGAAAAGAAGTGGCGAAGGCTGCCCATGACTGATGTCCTTTTTTTCTGTTTTTGTTTTTGTTTTTTTGTTGTTGTTTTCCTAGCTGTCAGAAACTAGTGTATCTTCTGTTCCTTAAGCCCCCACTTTCCTCCTTTGTTTTCACTTAATCTGCGTGAACCCGTTCCGAGACCCTCCCTCCTCCCCGGCCGGCCCAGCTATGGCGGAGAACGATGTGGACAACGAGCTCTTGGACTATGAAGATGACGAGGTGGAGACCGCAGCCGGGGGAGACGGGGCTGAGGCCCCCGCCAAGAAGGATGTGAAGGGCTCCTATGTCTCCATCCATAGCTCTGGCTTTCGGGACTTCCTGCTCAAGCCAGAGCTGCTCCGAGCCATTGTTGACTGTGGCTTTGAGCATCCATCAGAAGGTAAATTCCTCTTGGGCTTAGGGTACTCATGAGGCCCTTTAATGATCCTGAAACAGATGTTCCTGGTCCCTCAGTGATACAGACCTGTATTTAGGATAGACCAGGGAGTAAGGAAGTACCCGGAGTCCCAGAAACTATTAGCATTGGAAGAGGTTTGTATAGGTTGTCTTTTATTTGTGACTAGAGGCCTGATGCACAAAATTCATGCCCCGGTGGGCGGGGGGGGGGGGGGGCTCCTCAGCCCCGCCTGCACCCTCTCGCAGTCCAGGAGCCCCCGGGGGATGTCGGACTGCTGCAGAGGCAGGAAAGGCTCCTGCCACTGCTATTGCTGCTGCTGTCCTCACTGGTCAGCCCTGAGCCCGGCTTCTGGCTGAGTGGTGCTCCCTCTAGTGGTCAGTGCACATCATAGCGACCGGTTGTTCCACCATTCAGTCGATTTGCATATTAGCCTTTTATTATATAGGATAGGATAGCATGAAACAAAGCAATTTACTGGTCTGCTGTTCATTTTTGTGACTGGGTTTTCCCCTTCTAGTTTTGGATTTTGTCACTTTAACTTGTAATTTTAAATTTCCAGAGAGGAGTTGGTTGTACTTTTAGTTCTCTTTTGGGCCAGGCCAACTCTGGTCTCTGGAAACCTTATGGCTGTTCTAAAGGTGGTTGGCTTGTGGGTCAGGTACCAAGTCCTTCATTTAGTGCAAGTTGCAGGGTTACATCATCCAAAGGATGGCAATCTAAGCAGGAGAAATGGCCCGCAGCGGGCGCACAAATGCCATGGGTTGTTTAAGATGAAGGAAAATAAGGGCAGCCAAAAGCACCAAAGGTGGGCTGTTGGTAGATGCAAATGGGTGGTTAGGAGGGTGGTGTGGGAGGGGGGCTTGATTGGTGCTGAAGTAAGCTGAAGTTAGAAGGGACTAGGAGGGTCTGATTTGGAGATGAGTTTGAAGGAGCATAGAGGTAGAAAGTGTGTAGAAATTGACAAAAACCACTTAATTTGGTGGCATGAAATGGGTATGGCTGGTGAAAAATGTTATCTGGAGACTGAAGCCCAATTTATCTTTTTTCTTCTGTATTTAGTTCAGCATGAGTGCATCCCTCAGGCCATTCTGGGAATGGACGTCTTATGCCAGGCCAAGTCGGGCATGGGAAAGACGGCAGTGTTTGTGCTGGCCACGCTGCAGCAGCTGGAGCCAGTCACTGGGCAGGTACAGGTGGGGAGAGTGTTGGGGAGGGCGTTTGGGTCAGGAATGTTGGGGCAGAGTGTTTTTAGCTCAGCTACATGATGTATTCACAACCATGGGTGCTTGTTGCTCAGTGACCTCTGTCGCCCTTGAGGCCATGGGGAATATTTTGTAGTAATCCTGGGGTTAATGATTTAGATCTCAGAATTGAAGTCATTTATGATCTGCCAGGTATGTTTTTGTGATAGGCACTTCCCCAGAGGGGTAGTGAAGGGATACACTGTCTTTCTATCTACTTACCCCTCAAGGTGTCTGTGCTGGTGATGTGTCACACCCGGGAGCTGGCTTTTCAGATCAGCAAGGAGTATGAGCGCTTCTCTAAGTACATGCCCAATGTCAAGGTAAGTCAGGGTAAAGAGCCCGGGGAGCCTGAGGGTGTGGCTAGTTGGAGGCATTTGGGACTTACAGGTCAGCAGTCTTCATGTCCCACAGATGTTAAGTTCCAATACCTATACGTGAACCTCAGTGACATCTAATAATAAATTCCTGCAAACTTTTATTTTTATTGATTTCAGAGAGGAAGGGAGGGGGGAGAGAGATAGAAACATCAATGATGAGAGAGAATCATTGATTGGCTGCCCCCTGCACACCCATACTGGGGATCGAACTCTCAACCCAGGCATGTGCCCTGATGAATTGAACTGTGGCCTCCTAGTTCATGGGTCAACTTTCAACCACTGAGCAACACCAGCTGGGTTCCCCTTGCTTTACTTTGTAACACAGTGTGTAAATTCGCTTGTGCATTAGGAGACTGGGTGGTTGGGCTGTGGAGGAAGTTTCCACAGGACCACCCTTTTGCTTACTGCTTTCTTAAGCTCACGCTTTGGATCATTTCAGTGTGCTTTGGGTGACAGTTTGAGAATTTGGGGGTGTATGGCAAGAGAATGTGGAAACTCCAAAATGGCCCTAGTATGATGGGAATTTTGAGAATTATTTAAAAGTGGCAGAAAATTAAAAGATGTCTGGGGGCCATAACAAAGTTGGCTTAAGTTGTTCTCCATGGTATAACCTTGATGTTTATAACCTCCAATCTTCCTGGTTAGGATGGTGTGAAGAATAGTATATTTTCCTCAAAAAATTAAATGTGGAACTGCCATTGACCCAGTGATCCCACTTCTAGGACTATATCCTAAGAAACCCGAAACACCAATCTGAAAGAATGTATGCACCCCTATGTTCATAGCAGCACAATTTACAATAGCTAGGATCTGGAAACAGCCCAGGTGCCCATCAGGAGATGAATGGATAAAAAGCTGCGGTACATCTACACCATGGGATACTCTGCAGCTGTAAAAAAGAATCTGCTACCCTTTGAGACAGCATGGGGGGACCTGGAGAGTTTCATGCTGAGTGAAAGAAGTCAGAGAAAGACACGCACCACATGATCTCACTCATACGTGGAATCTAAGTAACAAACTGATGAGCAGAGTGGATACAGAGGCATGGAAGGGAGTGGGGAATCTCAGGGGAAAGGGGTAGACAATACATAGGGTGATGAAAGCCGGGGGTGGGGGTGGGGTGGGGGTAGGCTGGGGGGGGTCAATGGGGGGAAAGGGGAACATATGTAATATTTTTAACAATAAAGAATTATTTAAAAAATTATATCAGTAATAATAATAAACATACTGAGGGAAGCTTAAAAAGAGAAAAAAACTATGGTTGAAAATGAAAGCTGCCTTGGTCTGGGTTGCGGGCTGGATCCCCAGTAGGTGGTGTGCAGGAGGCAGCTGATGAGCGATTCTGTCTCATTGATCTTCCTGTCTCTCTCCCTCTCCCTTCCTCTCTTTGAAATCAACAAAAATAAAACACAAAACAAAAGAATACTTTTGTTCAGATTGTTAAAATTTTTCCTGTTACATATACACGTTTTTAATTGATTTTTTTTTGAGAGAGAAACATTGATCAGCTGCCTCTTACATGCCCTTTACCAGGGATAGAGCCCGCAACCCTGTTACTATAATTTAAAAATAACTTTAGCAACTTAAGTGTGGTGCTGGTGGTAGCGGCATGGCGAGAATGCCGCAGGGATCTGCAAGGCCTCACAGTGAGAGGTTTTGTGTTCTCCCGCCTCTGACCCTGCTGCACAGAAGTGAATCATTGTTGCCCTTTTTTGAAAATTCTGCTGGTTCTGTAACACGAAGTGTTAAGCACTGTTTCCTCAATTTGCCAATTTATAGGCCTTTTTTACTCAGCTCACTTACATTGGTTTTTTTTGGAACATGAATGCTAATTCTCTAAGTATGTTCTGAATGCTGTATGTATGTAGGTGTCCATGTGATGTATGCCTCTGTGTTTACATCGTCTGTGTCAATAGCATTGACTTCCTGTCCTTTCTCCAAGCAGTCTTGTCTAGGTTGATTCTAAAACTTGGAAACTAGGAACGAGCTTCCATTGTTATAACTGTAGGAGCGTTTATCATTGAGCTCTGTGGTGAGCTAGGATTGCACTTCCTCCTAGCCACCTGATTAGGTGTATAGGTCCAACTCGTCACCTTTGTGCCTATATTCTTGGTGTCCAGATCAAATACAAATTGTCATGACACTTTCTTTTGCCCAAAATTATGCTACAGTGACTTGAAGAGGCTGGGCCAGTTCTACAGAATGTCCTACCTCTGGATTCCTCTGGTTAACTCAGATTTTAAGTCCTCACCTGAGGTTATGTTTTTCATTGATGTTTTTATTTTTTTGAGAGAGAGGATGGGGGGGAGAGAGAAACATTGATGTGAGAGAGACAGCCATCCATTGTCTCCTGTATGCACCCTGACCGTAATCGAGCTCGCAGCCTTCTTGGTGTATAGGACGGTGCTCCAGCCAACTGAGCCCTCTGCCAGGCTTGTCTCCTGACTCCTCATGGTAGTTAGCTTGTACTTTTCTCCCAGCATTTCCTGTAAATAAAGTTTTGGGCAAGAATTCTTCACGGGTATCCTGTGTACCTCCTGCTTTGTTGTAAACCTGGGTGTCTCACATTTAGTGACTTTAGATTTACTTTAGGACAAGGGTTATGATAGCCTGATTCCTTGATTGACCTTCCCCCCTTGAAACTAGAAAGCAGTTTTTGGTGTTGTGTTGTACTAAGTCCCAGATCCTCAGTAGCCATTCCCCTAATGGTGTTAATAAGGAGTGATGCGGTTTGCCTGAATCAGCCATTTCATAGGCTTGTACAAAGGGGTTTAGGGTGAGTTGGGGAACCTTGATGTTCCCTGAGCTTTGTGGTGGCCCTTGACCTGGTGATTCCGGCTGTTCTCGTTCTTGGAGCGAAGCCTGGTCAGAGTCCTGGGAAGGAAGCGGCTAGGGTAAGGCGGGGGGCTGGGGGCCTGTCCTGACTGCCCGGGTCAGCCCTGCAGCCTCAGGCAAGTCCTGGTGTCTCCCTCAGTGTGTGGGGAGATAGTAATTTTAGGTTAGACGGCCCTTCATGTTCCTTTTAGCTCTGAAATGTTCAGAAGTGGTGTAGGTGAAGCTGCGAGAGTGGGACCTGTGGCGACTGGAGTCATTGCTTCATTGTGAGACGCTCTCCCCCGCTGGCAGGTGGCAGTGTTTTTTGGAGGTCTGTCCATCAAGAAGGATGAAGAGGTGCTGAAGAAGAACTGCCCGCATATCGTCGTGGGGACCCCTGGCCGCATCCTAGCCTTAGCTCGAAATAAGAGCCTCAACCTCAAACACATTAAACACTTTATCTTGGATGAATGCGATAAGATGCTTGAACAACTCGGTGAGTGGCCGTGCTGGGCCTGGGCCCGAGCCAAGTGCTGTTTGGTGACACAGGAGCACTGTCGTGCAGGACGACCCTGCATCTGCCGCCCTCACGATGGCGCTGGCTCCCTTGGTTGGCCTTTATCACGCTCTTCAAGCAGCCCTCGTGCTCAGGGAGGAGGGTGTCCTGTTCATTCTGTGCTGGGGTTTCTTTATCTTGGAGGGGAGGGGCCTGGCTGGCAGAGGGCCTCCGTTACATCACCCTTTCCTTGACAGATCCCTCTACTGGGTGTCTTAGGGGAGGAGGTGCCCAACTGGAGGAGGGGGCGGTCTACCCTCTGACATCCTCGCACAGCATATATCATGAGACTTTCTAGCTGAATAAATATGTAGACTTAAGTTCTAGGGTTAATATGTAGGGCGTTGCTGGGCATTTGTGTGGCTTGGTATTCTAGTGTGCTAAGTGGGGTCACAGAACATATTCTCTAAGAACTCAAATTTGGTGAACGGGAGACCACAGGTGGACATAGCCTTAGGGGTGAGTCATTCCAAATGATCTTTGGCTGTTCTGAATGGCAAGCTATGAGGTGGGCTCCAGGTAGAGATGTCACATTTCCTGACTGGTAGGAAAGTGTGAGCCAGAGGAAGCAGGGAGCACTCTGACAGCTGGAATATCACAGGTGTGCCCCAAACGCAGGTAGGCGGGGCTTGGGGAGGGGCAGGGAGAAGGGACTTGTAAAGTGTTCTCACAGGTCTCATCCTTGGGGCCTCGGTGGTGGGCTCTCCCTGTTCCGTAGTTGTAGGCTCTGGGGCTTCATCATACTTCTTGCCCGTTTAAGACACACACACACCTGGATTCCGATCCCAAATCTTGATTCCAAAGTCATTGCTTTTTCTAATGTGCTAGTATTATTACTCTGGATGTGATTTTGTAAGGGTTAGAGGAAATAGAGTAGAGAGACCTGAGGCAAATCTTTGCTTGGATGGACCCTGCTTACCCGTTCCCAATGGTCTCGACCTCACTGGGCGGTCTTCGTGACACCTGCTGCTTTCCCTCCTGTAGACATGCGTCGGGATGTCCAGGAAATTTTTCGCATGACCCCCCACGAGAAGCAGGTCATGATGTTCAGTGCCACCTTGAGCAAAGAGATCCGCCCCGTCTGCCGCAAGTTCATGCAAGACGTAAATACTCCTCCCTTCCCTCCCTCCGCCCCGCCCACTGCCTCCCCCGCGGGCCCTCCAGCTCCCTGTCCTTCAAGCACCAAGAAGGGCACGCGCCCATCTGGGAGTGACGGCTCCTTGAAGAGACGCACAGAGGCAGAGACAGCTAGCGTTAGGGTCTGCGCGGGTGCCAGGGAAATTCCGGAAGACTTGGTCGGGTTAACGTGAGAGCGGGTAGTGTTCGACTTTTTTTTTTAAATCACAGCATTTTTGAACCTCTTCTCCCTTTTGGGGGAGGGCAGGGTTTTCTGCCCTACCACCCACCCATCGTCTCCTACACATCCCCTACAGCCACGCACCCTCAAGGTGGCATCGAGCATACAACTGGAGCCTTCTGCTCCCCAAAACTCGTAACCTCCCGGTGGCAGGAGAGCAAGAGAGGGACAGACAGATGGCAAGGCATGTGCAAACGAAGAGCAAACAGCACAAATGAATCCGCCCCCTCCCCACCTCCAGGGGTGGGGGCCTTTGGCACCTCAATCCCCGATCCCCTACGCCTTCCCACCCGAACCTCCTCGCACCCACGTGGAACCTCGGTTGATGTGAGCCATGAGCCAGCAGCAGAGAGAAGCACTGTGGCGCAGCGGGGGAATTCAGACGGCACCGGCGTGGATGGCGGCAGCGGAGGCCGCGGGGAAACCTGACCAGGAAGCTGAGGACCAAACCAGCCTCTTTTTCTGTTCCCGGTTTTTTTCCTGAACCAAGGCGTGCCGTGCTCCTTGTTTCCCCCATACGTGTGGGGTGGGGAGGAGTGCCCTGGATGGGGTGGTAGATTTTTCCCCTTCCATGTAATGCTCGGGAGAGGGGAAGGGTGCAGTGAAGCGCTCCACTTGATGTAACCAGGCAGGTTAGGGATTGGGTAGGCGGCCCGCCGTGTGCGCAGTGGAGTGTGTTCTTTGCCTCCCTGCTCTGCTCCTCCCATGGGATGAGAGCTCCTTGTCTGTAGCTGGACTTGGGCTGCAGTGAGTTTGGAGGCCACAGAACCTCTTTTTGGAAAGCCTCCCTCTGCGACTGGCTTCTGGCTGTCTCCTGTGACGCACACCCTTTCCCAGCATCTTGGCCCCTGGGTCTTAATGTTTATGCTCCCTGGGTAGTGAGGAGTGCTAGGGAATTTGGGCTCTAGAGTTGGGTTTTGTCTCAATTTCTATCTTTAAAAATTTTTTTTATTTTATTTTAAAAAATTGTCTTTTTTAATGTTATCTTCCTCCCCTTCAAGGGTAAAAACATAAGTGCATATCTGCAGCTCTGAATTTCTTTTAAAAAATATTTTTTTGATTTCAGAGAGAGAGAGAAACATTAATGATGAGAGAGAATCATTAATCAGCTGTCCGGGGATTGAGCCTGCAACACCAGGCATGTGCCCTGACCGGGAATCGAACGTCGACCTCCTGGTTCGTAGGTCGACACTCAACCCCTGAGCCGGGCAACTCTGATTTCTTGGCACCACTTACTGGTGCCTTCCTGTGACACTGCCGATGGCTGAGTCTTCGCTCAGAGACCAGGCTCGTCTGGAGCTGTGCCCTTGTGGTTGAGGGCAAGTGGTTTCTCAGTTTGAATCGTTGCTCCTCCTTTCGCGGCATGCTGCTCATGTCCATCGAGGGTTCCCATCCTCTTTACGAGGGTGTGACTCCCAGCGGAGGGAGCACTCATGGAGCGGTCCTTGTCCTCCCCGCATTCGTACACTGGCTTGGGTGGAATTCTGACGTCCCGCCAGTGTTTCCCTGCTTCCCAGGTGTTAGGATTGTGTTTCCCTTTGAGAATCTACTGACTTTTCTTTCCCCGCCTCCATTTGAGGTCATGGCATCTTGCCGTGGGGTGGTTTCTCTGCTCCATTCCCTCCCTGCAAAGTTCTTCCTCTGACAGTTTTCAGTTGGGCATTCCTAGAACTCCACTGATAGGGAGGAAATTAGGTGAAAGGTGGAAGAGACCATGTGAAAATGGGCATGTTTTTGGGAGCGGGGTGAAGTTTTCAGTCTTCTCTTCTCCCCATTCCCCCCATGGGGTGTATTGGAGATCAACTTCCTCCACCCCCCCAGGTTTAACCCCCCCACTCTGCCCTCCTCCCGTTCCCCACCCCTACCTCCCCCTCCCCCTCAGCCAATGGAGATCTTCGTGGATGATGAGACGAAGCTGACGCTGCACGGGTTGCAGCAGTACTACGTGAAACTGAAGGACAACGAGAAGAACCGGAAGCTCTTTGACCTTTTGGATGTCCTTGAGTTCAACCAGGTCAGTTGTTCCAGGTCCAGTGGGAGGATGAGCACGTCTCCAACTGTAGCCGAGATCTGTGTTCGGTCCCCGCTTGTAGAGGAAACCACATAGGTGATGCAGGAGGGTGGGGGAGACTTTCTCTCAAGTGAAATCTTTGAAGTCTTTACCTGAGGATATTTTCGTCGACTAGAGAGAGAGGCATCAGTTTGTTGCCTCGCTGTGTGCGCTGCAACCAGGGATCGTACCTGTAACCTACCTGGGAATCGAATCACCACCTTTCTTTTGGCGTACTGGACAACGCTCCATCCGACTGAGCCTCCAGGCCAGGGCTTAAGTGAAAAAAAACTTTTTTAAAATATATTTTTATTGATTTCAGAGAGGAAGGGAGAGGGATAGAGAGGAACATCAGTGATGAGAGAGTCATGGATGGGCTGTCTCCTGCGTCCTCAACCTGAGGATGGAGCCCGCAACCCGGGCATGTGCCCTGACCCGGAATCAGACTGTGACCACCTGGGTCATAGGTCACTGCTCAACCACTGAGCCCTGCTGGCCGGGCATGAAATTCTTTTAAAGATAAATGTCTTGGGGCTGAGCGCAGGCAAGGTGGGAACTGCTGTTCTGTTCCATTGCTGGCACAGACAGGTACTCAGTACATAAAAGCAAACCTCAAAATAAAATCCTTAAAGGGTCTTAATAAGGTTGTAATGGTTCCGAAATGTCTTGATCATCCTTTTAGGTTTTTAAATTTGTTTTTCGTGTACTATTTACTGAGGAGATGTGTTTCATCACTTTACCTCTATGTAGGATATTTTTGTGTGTGTGGTGTTTTTTTTATTGTTTCGGAGAGGGAGAGAGAGAAATAGTGATGAGAATCATTGATTGGCTGCCTCCTGCACGCCCCACACTGGGGATAAAGCCCGCAACCCAAGCATATGCCCTTGACCAGGATCGAGCCCAGGACCCTTCAGTCCACAGGCTGATACTATCCACTGAGCCAAACCAGCCAGGGCTATTACTTAGTTTATTTGCAATAAAATTTATCTAGACTTGGGGTAAGTTGCATTTAGAGCAGAAGAGGAAACATGCTAGGGACTGAGGAATTCCTTTCGAAGAGTAATGACCGAAAACTCCTTTTTCATAACAACATCACACTCGCATGGACCTACATCACACACACGCACGCACAGGTGGTGATCTTTGTGAAGTCTGTGCAGCGCTGCATCGCCCTGGCCCAGCTCCTGGTGGAGCAGAACTTCCCAGCCATCGCCATCCACCGCGGGATGCCCCAGGAGGAGAGGTGAGTTGGAAATGGAGAAGATATTTTGTGTTCTCGGGAGGAGGAGACTTGAGAGAAAGAATTCATCGTTTTCTAATTTCCTTTCTCACAAAGGCTTTCTCGGTATCAGCAATTTAAAGATTTTCAACGACGAATTCTTGTGGCTACCAACCTGTTTGGCCGAGGCATGGACATCGAGAGGGTGAACATTGCCTTTAATTACGACATGCCTGAGGACTCCGACACCTACCTGCATCGGGTAAGCCCCGCACCCTCTGGCCATTCAGTGACCTCGCCCGCCCCTTATTTCCTGTCTTCATGGCATACATCTTCATCCCCTTTGGGTGTTGTCTTCTTTTGGGTCCTCCTGTCCTACCTTCTATCTCCTTCCAGGTGGCCAGAGCAGGCCGGTTTGGTACCAAGGGTTTGGCCATCACGTTTGTGTCAGATGAGAATGATGCCAAGATCCTCAATGATGTGCAGGATCGCTTTGAGGTCAATATTAGTGAGCTGCCTGATGAGATAGACATCTCCTCCTACAGTGAGTACTGATCACACGGACCAGCTCCCCCACCACGTGTAATTCTCCTTGTTCCTTACTGTGTTTGGCTTAAGTCCCATCATGTGGGCAAAGCCCCTACATAATGGGCACCTGACTAGCTCATGCCCCCTGAACACGACGCCCTGTTGGGATGTTTAGTTCACGTCTACTTGGGATCTCTTCACGCCCCCAAGTCTGCCCTTTAGACCAGACACTGCACAGACATCTGCATGTATGAGCATGTGTTTCTGCCAACCTCACCTTCTCTTACTCGTGTGTTACTCTCTCTCTTTTTTTTTTTTTTAAGGGCGAGAGAGAGAGAAACATCAGTGATGAGAGAGAATCATTCATAGGCTGCCTCCTGCACCCCTCACACTGGGGATCTGCAACCCCAGTGCCTTGACTGGAAATCGAACCGTGACCTCCGGGTTCATATGTCTGTGCTCAACCACTGAGCCACACCAGCCGGGCTCTCGTGTCATATTCTAACTGCCACATTTTCTTTTCAGTTGAACAGACACGATAGAGGACACGTCGCCTGTTCTGGAATGTGATAGTCTGTCCCTCTTCAGGAGATGACACCAGGCGTGGGGGTGAAGGAGACACTACTGCCCCTACCCCTGACAGCCCAGCCCCACCCCATGCCTTCCCTCTTTTGCATCACCACTTCTAAATCCGTTTCCTTATTTGTGAGAACTTTTTTTAACAAAACAAAAAACATGCGTCTGTGGTGTCTAAGTGCTCCTTTTATTGAATTTGGGGTGAGGTTATGTGGGGCCAAGGTTGTCAGCAGGAGGGGTCACAGTGGGGGCACGTGGCTAAGACGACTGCAGAGGTCATGGTTCCCGCTGCTTTCCAGTCTGGCCCTCTGGAGGGGTCTTCTGTTTTTCTTAGTGGCCCGAGGGAGGCTGGTGTGTTTCCAACCGCCTCCAGGCAGGTGGTGTGCAGTGTTTCCCATGTTGGAGGTGAAGTGGGCACCAGAGCAGCCTAGGTTCCTCCTCCCAGGCTCTCTCGGAGTCTCCTCATCTGCTCCTTCAGCTTCTGGGTCTTGAGCACCAGGGCCTGGGCCTCCCAGGCCCCCTCCTGCCCTTCCTGCAGGGCCTGGGCCAGCTCCAGCTGCTGCTCCAGCAGCTCCTCCGCCTGGGCTAGCTCAGCAGGGAGCCCAGGGCCCTAGGGGAGGGATGTGAGGAGGGGACATCAGCCACGGCAGGGGGCTGAGGCTGGCCGGGAGTCCAGTTTTTGACACCATTCGTTAAAGAGTAGCTTCCTGTCTTAGCCATAGGCCTCTTGGTAAGCACGAGGTAGGGCAGATAGAGATCACTGGCTCAGGGGCTCTAAGGACTCAGGAGGAAAGACTGCCTGCCCCTTCCCCCACCACCCAGAAATCATTAACTTAATGAGGGGAAATGCCTGCTCAAGGACAGTGGACTGCAAGCTGGGAGTAAGCCCTGAGGTCTGGAGGAGTGGGGGTGGGGAGCATACTGGGAAGCTGAGAATTGGAACTGGGCAACGGACTTGAGGGGTCTCAGTTGGTATCTGCTCTAGGCCTGTGGTACAGGATGGGATTGGGGATTCCCCCAGCACACATCTCCCCTCACACCTCCCACCCTCACTCTGGGTGCCACTTACTGCGGTGGGGGACCTCTTCCCGCTGCCGGTGGAGCTGGCCTGCTCCTTTGTGCTTGGCTTGGATCTCTGGGAGCAGCATCTCTGGGAGCTGCCAGGGGCCAGCAGCCTGGAAGGCAGGAGGAGGCAACGACCGCAACACCGCGAGAGCCAGGGCAGAAGGAGGACCATGGCGGGTGAGGCCGGGAGCTGCCAGCTGCCCAACTGCCACCAGGAACTGGCTTCTACCGGGCCTTTGCCTTTGCCTTCGTCTTGCTTCAGTGCTTGGCCCTGCCCCTGCGCTCACCTCCCTCCCAACCTGGCCCTAGACAGGCTCCTGTTCCTGATGTGAAAATACTGCAGCTTAGGCAGAGCTGGCTTTAGAACACATGCCCAGCCTACCACGTCTCGTGTCTGTTTCCTTAGCTCTGGCTTTTCTTGCTTCCTCTCCATTCCGTAAGTAAGGAAGTACAGTCAAACCTCGGTGCTCTGTCTCCAGTCTAGACCAGGTCACAGAACAAGCTTTGGTTTTCAACCTGACAGCCCGTTTATACTGATACTAGTGGCCTGGTGCACAAAATTCGTGCACATTAAAAGGGGATTAATTAGAGGAAATACTTTAATATTGCTATTTGCCCTTTATAATAGAAGTGTCAGAGGTGAAAGAGAATTAGTAAAATATATATGAAAATCTTCCTCCTGTCAGAGTTGGGCACGCCACAGGACTTGAGTCAAGTCCCCGCCCACCCACATGTGCCTTGGAATTGCACGAAACCCAGGCCCCCCCCCCCCCCCCCCACACACACACACACATTGGGCTAGATCCAGACCCGGGTGGTCTCACCCTTGTTAAGTCCCACTGGGCAGGGGACGTGGCCTGAGGTCCCCCGTCAAGCCCCGCCAGGCGGGGGATGCAGCCTCAGGTCCCGTAGCCTGGCACTGGGAGGGGGCACAGCCTCAGGTCCCCTGTCAAGCCCCACTGGGGGGATGTGGCCTGAGGTCCCCTGGCCCAGCACTAGGGCAAGGGGCTGCACCTTGAGGTCCCCTGTCAAGCCCCGCAGGGGCAGGGGTTGGAGTTGCAGCTTCAGGTCCCTGCTGATCGCTCGTTAAGGCTCATTATGGGAAATTAGCCTCCACTGTGGGTGCAGCCATCTTGTGTTACGGAAACCCCACCTCTGCTGTGGGCGCCGCCATCTTTATGGCAGAGTGTCAATTTGCATATTCCCTCTATTATATAGGACTAGAGGCCCGGTGCACAAAATTTGTGTGCTGGGGGTGGTGGATGTGAGGTGTGTGGGAGAGGTGTCCCTCAGCCCGGCCTGCACCCTCTCCAATCTGGGACTCCCTGGATGATGTCCAACTCACAATCTGGGACTGCTGGCTCCTAACTGCTCACCTGCCCGATTGGCCCTAACCGCTTCTGCCTGCCAGCCTGATTACCCCCTAACTGGTCCCCTGCTGGTCTGACTGATGCCTCACTGCTCCCCTGCCTGCCCAATTGCCCCCAACTGACCTCCCCTGCCAGCCTAATGACCCCCAACTGCCCTCCCCTGCTGGCCTGATGACCCCCAACTGTCCTTTGCTGGCCTGGTTGCCCCTAACTGCCCTCCCCTGCTGTCCCGGTTGCACTCAACTGCCTGGCCCTGTTGACCTGGTCCCCTGCAGCTGCCCTCCCCTGCAGGCCTTGTTGCCCGTAACTGCCCTTCCCTGCAGGTCTGTTCCTCCCCAACTGCCCTCCCCTGCAGGCCTGATCGCCCACAACTGCCCTCCCCTGCCGGCCATCTTGTGGTGGCCATCTTGTGATGACATCGCACGAGGGCGTCTCGCGACACCACCTAGGCTTTTAGTATATAAGATGTCAGCATGACAAAAATCTCAGGCCACAAAAAATACACCGATGCGAGTCAGTTTACCATGCTGACATTTCAGGAAATTGTGCTGTGAATATGTGTGTGTGTGTGTTTATTGCTGACAATACGGATGATTAGCACAATTTTAAAGCAGAGGCCATCAGGAGTGCTAATGTTGCTAACGTGTGAAAGAAACTGATCGCGGGCGATTTGGTTAGCAGGTGACAGCAAGCGGAGACGCCCGTGCTGAGCAGAAAGACAGCCTGGGCCAAGTGCTGAAAGGGTCTCTTGAGGCCAGTAGGGGTGGGTCGATACATTTAAGAAGTGTTTGTTTATAGATTAGACAGCACACTTGGCATACACTGCACATAAGAAAGATTAAAATGGAATCATTTGGGGGTCTGGAATGAATTCATTTTACATTATTTCTAAAGGAAATGGTTTTCAAACAGATCGCTCTTGAACAGCCTTCCAGAACGAATTAAGTTGGAGAACTGAGGTTCCACTGTGTCTGGTTTTGCGGAGGAGGAAGCTGGCTTGGAGGGTTTCATTCAGCACTCATGTATCCAAGCAGGTGTCTGTGGTGCACTCCAGGCCCCACAGCTGGAGGGTTCATACCCAGGTCTACCTGACTTGAAAACGACCCATTGACCTGGCTTTAGTCTTTTTTTTTTTTTTTTTTTAATATATTTTATTGATTTTTTACAGAGAGGAAGGGAGAGAGATAGAGAGTTAGAAACATCGATGAGAGAGAAACATCGATCAGCTGCCTCCTGCACATCTCCTACTGGGGATGTGCCCGCAACCCAGGTACATGCCCTTGACCGGAATCGAACCTGGGACCCTTCAGTCCGCAAGCCGACGCTCTATCCACTGAGCCAAACCGGTTTCGGCTAGTCTTAATTTCCCCTTACTTTTCCTTTCCTCTTGCTGGCCCAGTATGACCTTTCTTGTCCCTGTTGCATATGATATTGTGGGGGTTTGCCTTTGGTAGGTCTCGGCACTGTGGTTACCACTTTAAAAAAATGTTTTTATTGATTTCAGAGAGAGGAAGGGAGAGGGAGAGATAGAAACATCAATGATGAGAATCATTGATCAGCTGCCTCCTGCACGCCCCCTACTGTGGATTGAGCCCACAACCCAGGCACGTGCCCTGATTGGGAATCGAACCGTGACCTGGGCCACACCAGCTGGTTACTAACACATTTTTAATATATTTCTGTGTTTACTCTCTGTACCTCCTTGAGATTATAAGCTTTGTGGCCAAGGACAGGGACTCTATTTTCACAGCTCCATTTCCATTGTCCCAAAAGGGCCTGGTTGTTGATTTTAAAGCATCTGTTGAGTGAATGCATGAGTGAAGGCACCCCCAGACTGCCCCACCAACACAGACACTGCACCCACAGGGACACACCCACATACACACACTGACATACTGACACACATTCTCACACACACACTGCTACACCCCAATACACAGATACCATACCCATGGGGACTCTTACACACACACGTTCTCAAATGCTCACACTAATATACGTTCTGACACACACTAACATTCTCATACACTCACTAATACACATTCTCACACTGACACATATTCAGACACACACACACACACACACACACACACACACACACACAAATAATTAAAGCCTACTTTTCATTGAACATTATCTTGTGAATGTTTCCCATGTCATTGTGCATTATTATTTAAAATTTTTTCTCCAAATTATTGTGAAAAATTTCGGATACTTAAAGTGTGAAAGAAGAACTCAATGGTCACCCTGGTTTAATCATTTTAATATTTTGCCATATTTTCTTTATGTAATTATTAGAGGCCTGGTGCACGAATTCATGCACCAGTGGGGGCCCTCAGTCTGGCCTGTGGGATCGGCCCCAAACCGGCTCTCCAACATCCCCTGAGGGGTCCTGGATTGCGAGAGGGCGCAGGCCAGGCTGAGGGACCCCACCAGTGCATGATCCTGGGGAGGGATGTGGGAGGTTGGCCAGCTGGGGAGGGACCCCTGCGGGAGGACTCCAGGGTGTGTCCGGTCCATCTCACTCAGTCCTGATCGGCTGGACCCCAGCAGCAAGCTAACCTACCAGTTGGAGTGTCTGCCCTCTGGTGGACAGCATACGTCATAGCGAGTGGTTGAACAGCCTTAGCATTTCAGTAGCATATGATCCTTTAATTGGTTGAACGGACGACTGGACACTTAGCATATTAGGTTTTATTATATAGAATTTCTATAATTTTGGCTAAAATATTTGAAAATCACTTGCCAACATCATGACCTTTACCCCTACACATTTCAGTATTTGTCTCTTTAAAAATAACCTTTTTTCTTCCAACACTATTATTATTAGAGTGAAGAAGATAGTGGCAATTCCCTCGTGTTATAAAATTCCAGTGACATAAGACTGTCATCCTGCGCCGCCGCCGTTCATTTGCAGTAGAGCGGCACTCAAGAGCCCTTCCGCTCAGGGTCCCAGCCCTCCCGGCAACCCCTCCCTCCATCCCCTCATGGCAACAACTCGGGGGACTGAAGAGTAGAAACATTTTCTTCTCCCTATTTCTGTGATTTAACTCAAGCTTTGAAATAAGATCCTCTTATTTGGAAACAGCATCTCCCTGTCCACACAATATCCCACAGTGTGGGCAGGCACTGGGCTCCCCGGCCTCTGTTCCCACAGCAGGACAAGAGGGTCCCATGCAGGGTCACTCCTGGTGCCCCAAGGTCACACCTCCGACACCAGGTGCCACAATGACCTGGTGTGAGCACAGTCCCCCACCTCGGGGGTAAGAGTGGGCTATGCACATCCGCGAAGACCCCTCTGTCCCAGGCACTGCACCCCATAGCGAGGGGTCAAGAAAGGCTCCACACACAGGAACTAAGATGCGACCACCCAAACCCCATTCCCATTGCCAGAGCCCAGTGACAGCCCCAGCCCCCTACTCCTCCCACCCCCTCACACACCACCATCTGCCCTGAATCCACCAGGACTGACCTCATTCTGTCCTTTTCCCTCTTTGTCTGTCATCCCCGGTCCCCAAACACCCTGCACACTCATCTCCACAGGCCCACACATCCCTCCTCTGCTCTCCTGCCCCCTTCCACTGCACCCCCAGAATTCTCAGCTCAGGATCAGCCAAACCAGCGCAGCCCTCCCCAGGAGGTCCCTGCACTCGCAGCTCTGACAGACCGGGCCTCCCTGAGGGCACCCTTCCTCTGAGGTACTCCCATGGAGTCTCCTCTCCCTCTGATCTTGTGACTCGGGGCCTGTGGTGGGTGGGGTGCTTGCTCCTCAGCTGCTTTGGCCCTCCCTCTCCCCGAACACCCCCTAATCCATCGTCAGATTGGAGCCCCCACCCCCTCATTGCAGGGACCCCATTCCCTTTAGCTCCCGCTCGCTGTCACTCTCCCCAGGGTGCTCCCTCCTCGATTTCAGCACAAGCAGACGCGGAAGGCCGAACAGACGTCTCGCCCAGTCCTCGGAGCCGGTGGGCAGGGTCCTTACGCGCAGAGACTTGGGTGGTGCATGCGGTTCAGGACCTTGGACAGGGAGCGCTGGGTGAGTGGGCTGCAGTCACCACTGGAACCCGGAAAGCAGAGCAGTTCCTCCGGCTGCAGTGGGAGACGCTGCAGGAGAGATGGGGGGCAGAAGGTCAGGGGGGTCCACGGGGAAGGATCGGTGCCGCCGGGCCACGTTCCAGGGCCCAAGCCGTCCTAGAGGAGCTCAGGGGGCTCCAGCTGACAGCCAGCAAGGAAAGGGGACCTCAGTCCTGCTCCGCAGGAATCTGCATTGAGACAACCAAGCGACGGGCTGGGCAGTGGTGCCCCCCGAGCCCCGTGAGGAGCAGGGACCTGCCGCGCCTGGTTCTGGCCCCGTGAGGGCCTGGGCTGTGCGGCCTGCAGCCGCGAGATAATGAATGGCCGCGTGTAAAGCCACTCGGTTGGCGGTGATTTTACAACAGGGACAGGGCACGCCCAGCGGAAAGGGTGCTCTCAGCCTGCGGCTCACGGGCCTGAGCTCTGCTCCTCCCTGACCTCCCGCTCGGCTCTCCCGGCCCCACTCCCTTGCCGTTCCCTCGCCCTTGTCATTGCCAACAGCCCGCCCTTCCACCGCCCGCATTTCCTCTCCCAGGCTCTGCCACCACCTCCCCAGCATCCCCGCAGGGCGGCCTAAGCTCTGGGAACCGGTGCGATGGGGGATCGGGTCTGGTAATGTAGTATCAGCAACCCATTCATCACAAATGTGCCTGCTTCCCAGGCCAGAGTCCATCCTGTGCTACACTAACTCCAACAATCCTTTGACCCCACGGGATCCCCATTTATTATCCTGCCATCCATTGCCGGAAGCCGGTCCATCCTTGCTGCTTGACACAGTCGCTGCAGGAAAGAAACATCTGCACAGCATATGTTTCAAGGGACCTGGCGTATATAGCATACTGTTCTTAATATGTTTGCTCCCCTTAGCGCTGTGTGTTTTAACCAAGGTCACCTCTCCAAGAAAGGTTGTTTCCCCAGGTAGGAATTTTTCCCTGAAGTCAGGGAGGGGATGCCTCTCCTAGAAAGGTTGTTTCCCCAGGTAGGAATTTTTCCCTGAAGTCAGGGAGGGGATGAAACTCCTTAACTAAGTGCCAGGCGGGTAGTTAATCACTACAAACAATCATGCTTAAGCTACATAATCTTTACTCCCTGGAATGGAGATAAGAAACGCCCTAACCTTTGTAATAGAAATTGACAGGATTAAAATCAACTGGTATAAATACGAATGTAACAAGACAATAAACAGCAGAACTTCGCTGGAGATCCAGACCAGAACTTGGCTGGAGATCCTGGCTAGAGATCCTGGCTAGGCTGCTGATCAACTGAACACTGTCTCCGTGTCCTTCCTTCTTCGCCGACTCCGTCTACACCTTTGGGGACCCCTGGACCTGCTGGGGTTGGACCCCGGCAATCCATTCTCTGTCCTCACCCCTGGGTGTCCTCTCCTCATTCCTTAAATTCCATGATGTACCATTTCAAGCCCTCCCGTGGCTCTCCCGTGCTTTGCCACCCGCTTGGAAAAACTACACAGCCGGTGACTTCTACCTCTGCCTGGCCTGCACCTGCCCCACGAGCTACTAGAGGCGGAGAAGCACACAGCCACGCCGATGCTGCCATGTTAACATCCTGACCCAGACCCCCCGGGGGCCACACCGCTGCCCACAGTCATCCTGGCCCTGCAGGCTCCCTCAGTCTCCCCCATCCTCCACTAGACATCCACCCTCCTTCCCCATCTCTTACTGCTGGTGCCCTTGCTTCCTGCTTCACTGACACAACTAAGCACATTAGAAGGCAATTATTACAGAAATCTCCAACACCGTCTATTTGGAGACCTTCCCCACAGGCCGCTGTCCACACTCCTAGCCTGAGCCAGTCCCTGCTGGTGCTCAGGCCTCATCCCTCTCGTATACTGAGAGGTGTTGGTCCAGCAGTTCTTCCTCTTGGCTGTCCTTTATTATTACTTTTTTGTTGCTGTTGTTAGTCCTCACCTGAGGATATTTTTCTTTCTTTTTTATTAAATATTTATTCAGTTTTATTAAGTTATAAAATATATCAATATTCTGAAATTCATATCTATCTATTATCTACCTATCTATCTATGGATCTACCTATCTATGGAAAAACAGCAGGTACCCAAAGTGGCACCAGCACTCCCAGCATCTCCTACATCACATAGCCATAGTACAGACTGAGGATATTTTTCCATTGATTTTTAGGGAGAGTGGAAGAGAGAGGGAAAGACAGAGAGAAGCATTAGTGTGAGAGAAACACACCGATTGGTTGCCTCCTGCATAAGCCCAGACTAGGGCCCAGGCCGGGGAAGAGCCTGCAACCAAGGTATGTGCCCTTGATCAGAATCAAACCTGGGACCCTTTGGTTGGCAGGCCGACACTCTATCCACTGAGCAACACCGGCCAGGGCTATCATCCTTTTTTATTCTTAAACGATGCACATGGACACCATGAGAATGCACACCCCAGACCTTAGGTAGAGGAAGCATAATTGACTGATGGTTTCAGCTGGGACCATCCGAATTCTATTGCCATATTTATGCTGAGGCCACACCTCCATTGGCTGATCTGGCCAGTGAGTGAGAACAGCAGGGAAGCTAAGGCAGGTCCATTGCTCCTCTGAGGACTGAGTTGGGCTCCAGGCTCCCTGGCACGCTCTCTGAACTTTCCTTACTCTGCCCTGGGTCTAGAATGCCTCCAGCCCACCTTCCTCCTTTCTCTCCTCCACTCGGATGCAGACTTGCATTGAGATTTGATGGTTCCCCCAACCTTTCTGGCTCCCTCCCATTTTCTCTTGCAGGTGTTTTCTCTAATAATATCGCACACATTTAATACTGTATTAGTGTCTGCTCTTTGCACTAACACAGTGGTGTCAGGAGTGGTCCAATAACACAGGCCAAAGACGGGGATTGGAGCTTATTTCTCCCACTGCCCGCAGGCCAAGAGGTGTCGTCCAATTGCTAGGTGGGGCACATGATGGCAGCTGAACAGCTAGCTGTCACTGGTGGTGAGCGAGGAAATGTCTTGGTTCGGGGGAATGCTCTGAAAAGTGTTTATGATAGAAGGGTTTGTCAATAATGAGAGTGAGGCAGTGGAATGCCTGCTAAAGACAGCAGAGTTGGCTGGTTACTGTGAGCTGTATTGATGCCCTAGGAAGGAGGATGAGAATCTGAAGATTGTTAACAAATCATTACTGGTGAGTGTGAGAGCTTCTGCAGCAGTTTATAGAGAAGCCTTTATTGCATGTACAGGGCAGCAGGTAGAGTTGAATGGCAGCTGAGTACATGATTCATACACTCTAGATCAGGGGTGGGCAAACTTTTTGACTCGAGGGCCACAATGGGTTCTTAAACTGGACTGGAGGGCCGGAACAAAAGGATGGGAGTGTTTGAGTGAAGTAATATAAATTCAAAGTAAACATCATTACATAAAAGGGTACAGTCTTTTTTTTCAATAGTTTTATTCATTTCAAACGGGCCGGATCCGGCCTGTGGGCCGTAGTTTGCCCACAGCTGCTCTAGATGTTTGGACACTCAGCCACGTCAGGTTCGTCAGGTAAAAGTCAGGGCCTTCGATTCTGCAGATTGGAACAGGTGATTCTGATGGATGCTTTCTGGACCTCCTGGGCTTTTTGATGATTGCCCTTCTCTAGGAATGCTTAGCTCTTCCACTCTGCGAGCAGATACTGCAGCAGCCTCACCTCTGTGGATATTCCACTCACTAGCTGCCCCCCCCCCTCCTTAGCCCAATAACTAGGGCTAAAACCCCAACATCATCCAACAGGGACATAGTAGAGTTAGTAAGGGGGGAAAGAGGCTTTACCTATAACTAATTGCAAGAACTTAGCCAGCATGTACATGTAGGAGCCCAAGGAACACTTCAAGGTTGGATTTTGAAAGGCCGGTATGCCAGCTAGAGAAGCAAAATTTGATTGGCTTTCTCAAGGCATGGGTTTATGAAGTACCTTCCTCCAGGGAAGGAGGCTGGGGTGGCTCTATGTAGACTAGAAAAAACAATGTCCAACTCTCAATAAAGTAGACATGACTTAATTGCCCTGGTAGCTGGTAGAGCAGAGGACAGAGCCTGGGGGAAGCTTGCGTATGAAGTGGGCCATCGGCTCATGCTCCGCAGGAGGGCCCAGAGGACACCTTTTTCACTAAATGCATCAGGAATGTGCTGGTGAGAGGCACTGGCATCACCAGGGAGGCTGGTAGTGTTGTGCTCTGAAGGCCCGGGATGACGGTAAGAAAGTGGTCATAGAGGTGGGCTCATTAATATTGGTGGGAAAGGTATGACCCTGAAGAATTCAAGGCTGAGTGGTGGGTTGGTTTTGTCTATTATCTCCATTAATGCCTAGAATTCAGGAGGCCACAGTAAGTATAACAACTCTGGAGGAGTAGCCTCGAGAGCTTGACTTGCAGGCACTTGTGGAGATGGCTTGTAGAGCATGGTGTCTCAAGTGTCCAAACGCTGGGGTAGTTGATGTTGAGGGATAGTCAATATGGTTGCTGCTTAACGTCTACAATTTTAAAAATCAAGAATTGAGGAAAAGGAGGCTGCAGATTGTTGCATCCATAAAATATCATGATCCCTTTCTCAGTTGCCAGAACTGAGCCAATTTTCATATTCAAAGTCCATTGATTGAAGAGATATTCATATCCCCTAGAGGAAGGAATTGGAGCACCATGAAGTATATATTATGACAGTTTCCCCAGTCCTTGTGGGAAAGAGCTTAGCACCATTTACTCAGGTGACTGTACCCTGGAGAAAGGAGAATAACCATAAATTTCAAGGCCTATAAGACATTATATTTAATTGACATTGACATCCACAGCATCAATCAAGTCCCACTATTATAATGGGGGATTTCAGAGGTCAGGTAATAATGGAGTCCCGATCAAGTTCCAGCTCAAAAACAGACCACGTTTCAGAACCTCCTAGTACATAAGTAGGCATATTAAGTACCTTGAGTCATCTTTCCATTCCCTGAGTAGATAATTGCATTGATATACTTTGCAGTTTGAGTAACCTTCATATTGGGTCCCTGGTCTGTGGAGTAAGGACTCTAACAAATGGAAGGGCTAAGAGGAAGCTTTGAAACTGGCCCCACCCTGCTCAAATCAGAAACAACAGTGTTTCAGGAGGTGGATCTTGTGAAAACTAGGCTCAACGTTGGAGACACGATGCAGGGTGGTGTTGGGTTTCCCTATTATTGCCATTTCATTAAGCAATCTGTCTCTGTAGAATCCTGATGGATCCTAACAATGAATGAGATCACTTTAGACTTAACCAAGCAGAAGTACCGATTACAGCTGCTGTGCTGGGTGTGCTACCACAGCTGGAGCAGACCGAGAAGGCCTAGCATACAGTAAGCAGCTTCGCAGCTGGTGAATATATTCTTTTACATTTCAATTAGAAAGGTGCATGTAGGGTGATTATATTCATGTGGGACAAACCACAGTATTTATTTATAGTTTATCTCAGTGCCATTTAAAACATAGTCCTTGGAGATCGGGTCCATCTGAACACCTGCAGAATATTACATCAGTTCATTACACTGACATCACATTGATTGAATTGGGTGAGCAAGAGGTGGAAAGTATGGCGGAGGCCTTGGTAAACAAAACATGCATTCCAGAACGTGGAATATAAAGCTGGCAAAGATTCAGGGTGCAGGAGAGGAGTTTTGGAAGATGGCAGAGTAGGATATACCAGGAATCCTGTCTACACATCTAGACAGCAATTGTACTGGCAGAATTTGTTTGATCTAACTAATTTGGGACTGTGTAGTCTATGAGAAGGCATGTGACTTCCATGGAAAGGTTTGAACAATATGTCATGGTCAATTCCAGCTCTTTGTGTGGCAGATGGTACCACCCACCACCCACCAGCCTATGGCAGGCAGCCCTGCTCAAGTTCTTGGAGCAGCTTGCAGATGCAGGAGCTAAGGGAGGCTATAAGAACCCTATCTGCTTTCTCTGCCATGTGAGAATACAGCAAGAAGGCTGGCTATCTGCAAGTCAGGAAGAGAGCCCTCCCAGACACCAAATCTGCTGGCACCTTCATAGGACTTCCCAGCCTCCAGAACTGTGAGAAAAGTAACTGGAATGAGATCGTTGACAGCTTTGATGACATGAACCTCTCAGAGTCCCTCCTCCGTGGCATCTACGCCTATGGTTTTGAGAAGCCCTCTGCCATCCAGCAGCGAGCCATTCTTCCTTGTATCAAGGGTTATGATGTGATCGCTCAAGCCCAATCTGGGACAGGAAAAACAGCCACTTTTGCCATATCGATTCTGCAACAGATTGAATTGGATCTAAAGGCCACTCAGGCCTTGGTCCTGGCACCTACTAGAGAATTGGCACAGCAGATACAGAAGGTAGTCATGGCTTTAGGAGATTACATGGGTGCCTCCTGCCATGCCTGCATTGGTGGTACCAACGTGCGTGCAGAGGTGCAGAAGCTGCAGATGGAAGCTCCCCATATCATCGTGGGCACCCCAGGACGTGTGTTTGACATGCTTAATCGCAGATACCTGTCTCCCAAATACATCAAGATGTTTGTACTGCATGAAGCTGATGAAATGTTAAGCCGTGGGTTCAAGGACCAGATCTATGACATATTCCAAAAGCTCAACAGCAACACCCAGGTAGTATTGCTGTCGGCTACAATGCCTTCCGATGTGCTTGAGGTGACCAAGAAGTTCATGAGGGACCCCATTCGGATTCTTGTCAAGAAGGAAGAGTTGACTCTGGAGGGTATCCGTCAATTCTACATCAATGTGGAAAGAGAGGAGTGGAAGCTGGACACATTGTGTGACTTATATGAAACCCTCACCATCACCCAGGCAGTCATCTTCATCAACACGCGAAGAAAGGTTGACTGGCTCACTGAGAAGATGCACGCCCGAGACTTCACCGTTTCTGCCATGCATGGCGATATGGACCAAAAGGAACGAGATGTAATCATGAGGGAGTTCCGCTCTGGCTCTAGTAGAGTATTGATTACCACTGACCTGCTGGCCAGAGGCATTGATGTGCAGCAGGTTTCTTTAGTCATCAACTATGACCTTCCCACCAACAGGGAAAACTATATTCACAGAATCGGTCGGGGTGGACGTTTTGGCCGTAAGGGTGTGGCTATTAATATGGTGACAGAGGAAGACAAGAGGACTCTTCGAGACATTGAGACCTTCTACAACACCTCCATCGAGGAGATGCCCCTCAATGTTGCTGACCTCATCTGAGAGGGGCTGGCCTGCTGCCTCATCCCAGCCAGGGTTCTCAGTCCTTGGCAGGCTGAGGAGGAGCAGGAGGGGGGAGGGAAGGGAGCCAAGGGATGGACATCTTGTCAATTTTTTTTCTTTTTTCTTTTTTTCCCTTTGAATAAATGTCACTTTTTGAGGCAAAAAAAAAAAAAAAAAAAAAAAAAAAAAAAAGAACCCTATCTTTCGCCAAAACCGGTTTGGCTCAGTGGATAGAGCGTCGGCCTGCGGACTGAAGGGTCCCGGGTTCGATTCCGGTCAAGGGCATGTGCCTGGCTTGTGGGCACGTCCCCAGTGGGAGATGTGCAGGAGGCAGCTGATCGATGTATCTCTCTCATCGATGTTTCTAGCTCTCTATCTCTCTCCCTTCCTCTCTGTAAAAAATAAATAAAATATATTAAAAAAAAAAAAGAACCCTATCTTTCAAAATAAGGGTTCTATGTGCTGACATATGATTACTGATTTGATTGCAGAGGTGTAGACACTGAGGTGGGCTACTACTCTTGCAACCCTCACTGATGCTGTTCAAGTTCATCCTCTTTAGCAATTTTCAGGGAAATAAAAAGGCCAGAAATTGTCCCTTTTGGGAGCCAGACATTTAAGGACTGGAACATTAAAAAGCAGATGCATACGTGGCGGAATTTAGAAAGTCATCACCCACATTCAGAACTTAGGGGAAGGCCTCAGTTCAGCAAAGACATGAGAAGGAGCAGGTTTACACTTCAGGCTGGTTCCTAGCACATAGCCTACAACAATAAAAATGCAAATGTCCAGTTTTCAATAAAAATTACAAGATGTACAGAGGAACAGGAATATATGGCCCATTCATAGGGAAAAGAAACTCTTCCTGTGAAAGAGCAGATGATTGACTTAGTAGGTGACATTTAAAACAACTCTCCAAGAGATGCTCAAAGAGTTAAAAAAGAAATGGAAAAAATCAAGAAAATAATATATGAACAAAATTAAAATATTAATAAAGTGATAACAAAAAATATCCAAAGAAACCAAAAAGAAATTCTGGTGCTGAAATGAAAAATTCATTAGAGGGTTTTAAAATTAGCTTTGAATAGAAGAAAGAATTGGTGAACTTGAAGATAGCACAATTGAAATGATCAAGTCTGAGAAAGAGAAAAAAAATTAAAGACAGATGAACAGAGCCTAAGGGAGCTATGGGACACCATGACAGCCATGCTGTCTTCCTCTCCTTCTGCCTCCCCACCAATCTTGGTGCCTCCCCATGTGGCCCTGTGTGGTGTGCTGGCCCCTTCCTCTTGGGAAATGTGGTAAGACAGTCTTCTGTCGATGGCATTAGTCTCTCCCAGCATCACTCAATCACCTTTATAAATAAAGGCCCCGCATAGATCATACATGGTACCAAATTATACTCCTATGTGCTTCTTTGGACTGAAGGTGTCTAAGACTCACACAAACTCAGGGCTCCAAATAAATAGTTTTAAAATACAAAAACCTGGAGTCTTGGTTTGGGAACGTGAAACTTAAGAGCTTTGTTTAGTCATTGCAGAGCTATTTAGACACGTTTATATGTGAAGGGTAAAACCACAGCTTTACAGATTAGCTTGTGTTCCCCACTGCAGTTCATAGACAAGGGGTTTCTAAAGGTGCCCTCTGGCACTGGTGCCCCTCAGGCATGGCTGCCCAAGGTTTACTGTTTCTTCACTGACTTTCCCAAGGCCAGCTTCGTATTGGCATCATATTCCCTGGGAGTGAGTGTTCTTCCACGAGGGTGCAGGGGGAGTGCCGGAGGCCGGTCCATCCTTGTTGCTTGACACAGTTGCTCCAGGGAAGAAACATCTGCACAGCATATGTTTCAAGGGACCTGGCATACTGTTCTTAATATGTTTGCTCCCCTTCTTAGCCCTATGAGGGCCACCTCCCCGAGAAAGGTTGTTTCCCCAGGTGGGGATTTTTCCCTGGAGTTAGGGATTAACAGGACTAAGGAAGGGAATAAATCAGTAAAACCCCTTAACTAAGTGCCAGGCGGGTAGTTAATCACTTTAACTATGAACAATCATGCTTAAGCTACATAATCTTTACTTAGGATAATCTCCTTCAGTTACTTCCTTGTAGCTTAACAGAACAGTAGAGTAGTGACCTTGGAATGGAGAGAACAAACTAGCCCTAACCTTTGGAATAGAATGGATAGGATTAAACTCAACAGAACTAGATGGAGATGGGATTTTTGGCAAAGGTCAGATAAGAAACTATGGACATGAAACAAGGAACTGTAGGTCAAGGGAGAACCCGAAACATACCATGATGTGACTATAGAGGCATGCTTATAAGATCAAATGGTATAAATACAGATGTAACAGGAGAATAAAGAGGGAACCTGGCTATGCTGATCATCTGAACGCTGTCTCCATGTCCTTCATTCTTCCCCGACTCCGTCCACACCTTTGGGAACCTTTGGGAACCCCTGGACCGCTGGGGCTGGACTCCGGCAGGGGAAAGTTCAGGAGTAGGAGTACAGCTCAGGTAGAGGGAATCCAGAGAGAGAAGGGGAGGAAAAGGGTCTGGGCTCAGCCTGGGGGTTTCTCCCTGGTTTCCTCAGGCAGCCCCTCAGCCAGGACTCAGGGAGACAAGGCAACAGAGAGCTCTCCGTGTGGGAAGTGGCGGGGAGGGGAGGGCCAAGTCCCAGGTTCCCAGGCCTGGCTCTCAGGGTCTCTGCCCGAGGGCGGAGAAACTAAGTGTTGGGGAGTCCCTGGGGTTTTACTTCTTTCTCTCACAACTTGTGTGGGGTCCTCCTTCCTGGATACTCATGATGGGGGCCGTTCTCACTCCCATTGGGTGTCAGGTTTCTATTGAAGCTGATCAGCGGTTCTGTGTGGTAAAGTCCTCACCAACTACTGGAACTCATTCTCCTCAGACCCTCAGGATCTGGGTCATGGGACCCCGAACCCTCCTCCTGCTGCTCTGGGGGGCCCTGATCCTGACCGACCCTAGGCAGGTGAGTGCTGGGTCAGGAGGGAATGGCCTCTGTGGGGAGGAGTGAGGGGTCCCGGTGGGGGCGCCGGACCAGGGAAGGCGCTTCTCTAGTCTCCACCTGCCTGGGTCCAGACCACAGAAGCCATCCTCCCCCTGCCCCCGCCCTGTTCTCTCAACCACCAGCCCTTTCCATCTCCCAGGCCACTTCCCCCATCCTTTCCACTGTTATGGGTTCACTCAGCGAGATAGACCACTGACTCAGAATTTAAATTTAAGAGCCTTTATTAAGCTGGCCAGCTGACCACAGTCACAGCAACCTGCCGAAGCAAAGGCTGAACTACAGCCCTGACTGCCAGAGGTACAGCATTTTTATTTGCAAAAACCACAACGTTACAAAGCCTTGTTTACACAATTAGTTCCAGACACAGTATAGCATCATTACCTTCCTATCTATGTGTTTTAGGAACAGAGAGTACAGCATATGGAGAAGGAGCCATGAGACCATATCTCAAGGCCTGACCTGATGTCAGTACCTTCCTATCTATGTGTTTTAGGAACAGACAGCACAGCGTGCCCCGTCTGGCCGAAGTGCCAGATATGCAGCCCAGTACATTCCCTACTGGTCTTATTGGGAATCAAATCTTTGATTCAGCGTCCTCCTCTAAGATTCTGGAGTTACATTTTATTCACCACGGTGTGCCCAGGGAAATGAATTTAAATTCTAAGCAAAGCCACAAGCAGAACTTCCCTTTCTATGGAAAAGCCAGCCCTTTGTGAGCTTGCTGGTGGTGGCCTTGAAAATTACACAGCCAATCAAAAATGCCCCTGGCATGGCATTTGGTGTATCTAGTCTCTGACCTACAAGGCCAGACAGCCAAGTCTATCTTCCCCATTATTCAAGCAGGCTAACACGGGCTAGGAAGCAAACTTATCTTCTAGAATAAGAGGCCATCCAAAGAACAGCAGAGAACTCCAAACAGTAGTCCCACAGAATAGGGGTTTTCCTTCACATTCCCCCGCCTTGTTCCACAAGCTTTTCAGCCTTGTGGTACAACAACCACGGGATGTTACAGTGAACAGGGATGTCGATTGATCTTTTACTACTTCCTGCTGGAAAGGGACGACGTCCAAAGGGTTAACATCCCGTTTCTTCCTCTTGGAGAGGTTTGTAGGGAATTTTGTCTTATTCGTCTTGTTCCTCTTTAGTGTAGGAAGCAGTAATTTTATGGTGCTTCTGTATTCCAGCAAGGGCAGAAGAGTTCTCCTCCTGGGACTAGCCTCGGGTTCCTGCGGCACTCATAAAAAGACAAAATGAGAATTACTAGAAAGATAAAAAACAATGATTATCCAGAAATACCAGAGCATCTTGCCTTTAAGAGACGATAAGAAAGAAAGTGTAAGGAAGAATTCAGCAAGGTGTTCTCTGAATTCTTTGGAGTAGGTTGATTGGCCAGGTCCGCTGTCTTCTTGAGGGTGATCTGCAGTGGCTGTGTCTGGTCAGAGGTCACCTTCCACTCAGGCTCCCTGATGTCCTGGGCATAGAAGGAGGTGGGCTTGTGACCTGGCAGAGACAAATTGTAACAGATGGTCTGGTGGAAGGGAAGGAAAACATTTCAGTTTCAACAGTCTCTATTGAAATAGGATTTTTCTCCTTAAAATTCCTCTATGGTTATCAAAAAGCCAAAGCAAGACCATTTTATCTACTGTATTCAATTTGGCCTGATCATTTGCATAAACACAACAAGAATGGTTACTGACTACCTTTGCCAGAATTTCATGATTGAATCTTAATGTGCCCCGTAGGGCCAGGAAGCCCAGCCATCCAGCTGCCATCAGGCCTGCCTGCAGTATCTTCTGAGTTAGGTGAATCCCTCACCTGTAGCAACTCCACCTGAGCCCACGCTCTAGGCTTTAAGGTCCATCTCAGTAGCCCTCCTACTCATTGCGGCCCAGAGTGAGTGGGGGTTTACTGCTCCCCTTCTACTCTGACCAACCGCCAGTGATGGGAGGGCATGGGCCTGACGCTCCAGCACCAGCCATCTTCAGGGCTCCCAAGCAGGATACCAGGTTTTTCCTGTGGCACTCTTATTGGCTTCAAGTCTTCAGAGTCTAGACAGGTCTCTTTAAAACATGATACTCCAGTCAAAGTTTTCTGTTAATAAAACCACTATTAGGAACCAGTCTTATTGAATCTATGCA